AAGAGATTGTCCTGCCAGGGTATTTTCAGGAACCATCGTCTCCTGAGGAAGAAAGATGTCATACGCTAGACCTAAGGAGGTGTCTTTCCACATATATTTCACGCTCAGCTGATTGGAGGAAGTCTACCCAATTGTTTGTGATACCTTGGGGTTCTCGTAAAGGTGAAGCTGCCTCTGTCGCAACCCTTCGTTCTTGGACGGTTCAGGCTATTTCTAAAGCTTACAGAGCTAAACAGGTTCCAGTTCCCAAGGACATCAAGGCACATTCCACAAGGTCCATTGCTACTTCATGGGCTGCAGAGTCAGGAGTTCCTGCAGAGAGCATCTGTAAAGCTGCCAATTGGTCATCTTTAAAAACCTTTGTACACCACTACAGAGTGGATATCTCATCTCGTTCTGATTCAGAGTTTGGCCTATCGGTCCTGAACTCTTATAAGCCTTAAGCAGATATTAAACAGTTTTTGTAGCATGACTTACCCTCCCTGAGTGGTTATTGCTTTGGTAATCCTATATGTTAAATGCTGCCATGATTAGCCAGGAATAGAGAAAATTTATTGATACTTACCGTAATTTTCTTTTCCTGGCTATTATTCATGGCAGCATTTGGTCTCCCACCCTCTCTTGGTTTATTTGTCTTGTTACTAGACTGAGGTGTGGGGGATACTGGGGTACCTAATATACTAGGGGAAGGTAGGCTTAATTGTTTAATTGATTGTGTTTCCTGTCCTGAGGGTTGGAGGGAGGAGCTAAACCCATAATCCCATATGTTAAATGCTGCCATGAATAATAGCCAGGAAAAGAAAATTACGGTAAGTATCAATAAATTTTCTCTAATCTTCCCAATAACCCTAGTTGGAAGTAAGAAATGCACACGACGCACAGGTACAGTACATTAAGCACATGCCAACAATTAGCACAATATTATTTAGTGTACTACTGGTAGGTATTTTGGGTATTTACCAACTCAGTATACTAAGCATCATATTAATAGACTACTCCTCCCCTCAAATCACGTCAGCTTGCTGATGTGCTTTATTGATGAGGAGTATCCTATTAAAAGTGCACTTAATAAAAGTGCCAATTTCTATGAGAAATGTCAAAAGGCCAGGGAGGTTTCCTTCCTACTTCAGTTAGCCACTCCTTGTATACAGTGAGGGAAAAAAGTATTTGATCCCCTGCTGATTTTGACTGTTTGCCCACTGACAAAGGAATGATCAGTGTATAATTTTAATGGTAGGTGTATTTTAACGCCTCTACGTAACACCAGATGCGGCTAAGGTGCTGGTCCATGCCACTGTCCTCTCTCGTCTTGACTACTGTAATCCGCTTCTTACATGCTCCCAACTTGCCCCATTGCAGTCTATAATGAATGCGGCACCAAGGCTCATTTTCCTGTCTGCCTGCACCTCCCACATCTCACCCCTCTGTCAGTCCCTATATTGGTTTCCCCTAACATAGGGTTCAGTATAAAATTCTGGTTCTTGCTTTCAAATCACTACATAATGCTACTCCCACCTATCTATCCTCCTTAATACACAAGTAAGTCCCTCTGTCGAAGACCTACGTCTATCCACTGTTTGTACTCCCACCTCTGATGCTCGTATCTAAGACTTCTGTAGGGCTGCACCGTTCCTGTGGAACTCCCTTCCCTTTTCTGTTAGACGCTCACTCAGTCTCCACTCCTTCAAAAAAAACTTTAAAAACTCACTTTTTCACAAAAGCATATCAATTAAACTGTTAATGGCTCAAAACCCCCCCACAATAAGTCTTCATTAAATACTATTTTCCCAATCTACTTCCCTTACCTTTTGTGTCACTTTATCCCCACTCCCTCTGGCATGTAAGCTCATTGAGCAGGGCCCTCAGCCCCTGTTTCTGTGCTTCAAACTTGTCTGGTTGCAATTACATGTTTGTTAGTCCACCAATTGTAAAGCGCTATGAAATTTGTTGGCGCTATATAAATATAATAATAACAATTATAATAACAACATTGAGACAGAATAACAACAACAACAAAAAATAATCCAGAAAAACGAATGTCAATGACTGAAATAAGTATTTGATCCCCTATCAATCAGCAAGAATTCTGGCTCCCAGGTGTCTTTTATACAGGTAACGAGCTGAGATTAGGAGCTCTCTCTTCAAGGGAGTGTTACCTGTATAAAAGACACCTGTCCACAGAAGCAATCAATTAATCAGATTCCAAACTCTCCATCATGGCCAAGACCAAAGAGCTGTCCAAGAATGTCAGGGACAAGATTGTAGACCTAAACAAGGCTGGAATGGAATACAAGACCATTGCCAAGCAGCTTGGTGAGAAAGAGACAACATTTGGTGCGATTATTCGCAAATGGAAGAAACACAAAATAATGGTCAGTCTCCCTAGGTCTGGTGCTCCATGCAAGATCTCACCTCCTGGAGTTTCAATGATCATGAGAATGATGAGGAATCAGCCCAGAACTACACGGGAGGGATCTTGTTAATGATCTCAAGGCAGCTGGAACCATAGTCACCAAGAAAACAATTGGCAACATATTACGTTGTGAAGGACTGAAATACTGCAGCGGCCGCAAGGTCCCTCTGCTCAAGAAAGCACATGTACAGGCCCCTTCTTAAGTTTGCCAATGAACATCTGAATGATTCAGAGGAGAACTGGGTGAAAGAGAGCTCTTTGGCTTCAACTCCACTCGCTGTGTTTGGAGGAGGAGGAATGCTGCGTATGACTCCAAAAACACCATCCCCACCGTCAAACGTGGAGGTGGAAACATTATGCTTTGGGGTGTTTTTCTGCTAAGGGGACAGGACAACACCACCGCATCAAAGGAACGATGGACGGGGCCATGTACCGTCAAATCTTGGGTGAGAACCTCCTTCCCTCAGCCAGAGCATTGAAAATGGGTCATGGATGGGTATTCCAACATGACAATGACCCAAAACACACAACCAAGGTAACAAAGAAATGGTTCAAGAAGAAGCACGAGTGACTCATGATATTAAATGTATTCTTACTAATGCAAGGAGCCTAAATAACAAAATGGGGGAACTAGAGGCAGTAGCATACACTAAACAATATCATATAATAGGCATAACTGAAACATGGTGGGATAAGACACATGACTGGGCAATTAACTTAAATGGGTACATGTTATTTAGGAAGGATAGGAAAAACAAGAAGGGTGGTGGGGTATGTTTGTATGTCAACCATGATTTAAAGCCAAATCTTAAGCAAGTGGAATGTGATGAGGAAAATGTGGAAGCTTTATGGGTAAATATCTGCTTGGGGGAAAAGTAGGGAAACCAACTATTGGTTGGACTATATTATAAACCACCTAATGTTAATATTAACGAGGAACAACAGCTGTTTGTACAAATTGAGAAAGCTGCAAATCTGGGTAACACTTTAATTATTGGAGATTTTAATTACCCGGACATAAACTGGGACAGAGGGACTAGTAGCTCAGCAAAGGGAATTAGGTTTTTAAACTTATTAAATTACACCTTTATGTCACAACTTGTACAAGCACCAACTAGTATGGACGCTTGTCTGGACCTGGTTTTAACAAACAACGTTGATATTTTGACCAGCATTCAAGTAGGTGAGCACTTGGGAAATAGTGATCGCAATATAGTGTCCTTTGAAATAAACTCGGAAAAACAAAGGCACATGGGGTATACTAAAACATATAATTTTAAAAAGGCCAATTTCAATAAATTAAGGGTAACTTTACAATATATTGATTGGCATAAACTCTTTAGTGAAAAGAACAGTGATGATAAATGGATCATCTTCCAACAAATATTAGAAAGGTACATTTCTCAGTATGTACCAATGGGTAAAATATAAAAAAAACTAATTAAAACCAATGTGGCTTAGTAGAGAAGTAAAACAAGAGATTAAAAATAAGAAAAAGGCATTTAAAAATCGGACAAATCAGATGCATCTTATAAAAGATATAAGGAAACAAATAATGCGTGCAAAAAGGCAATTGGAAAAACAATAGCTAAAGAGAGCAAAACCAACCCCAAAGCATTTTTTAAGTACATAAATTCTAAAAAAAAAAGAAAAAATTTTTTAAAGCGTAGGTACACTAAAAACGGAAACGGGGGTGTTAATTAATGAAGACCAGGAAAAGGCAGGAATTTTAAATAACTATTTCTCCTCCCTATATGTTAAGGAAGAACCCATGGCAATAGATGTACAAATGATTGCTACTAAAAACTTACAGAATAATTGTAATTGGTTAACTCAAGACAAGGTGCTGCAGGAACTAAAGAAAGTTAATATAAACAAAGCTCCAGGGCCTGACGGTATCCATCCACGAGTACTTAAGGAACTAAGTGTAGAAATAAGTGAACCTCTGTTTTTAATCTTTCAAGATTCTTTTCTTTCAGGAAGTGTTCCGGAGGATTGGAGAAAGGCAGATGTGGTTCCTATATTCAAAAAGGGTTCAAAATCCTTGCCTGGAAATTATAGACCTGCGAGCTTAACTTCTGTGGCTGGGAAAATATTTGAAAGGTTATTAAGGAATAATATTCAAGAATTCCTTGAGAAGGACATGGTTATCAGCAAAAATCAGCACGGTTTTATGAAGCACAGGTCATGTCAAACTAACTTGATTGCATTCTACGAAGAAGTAAGTAGAAGTATAGATCAGGGTGTTGCAGTAGATGTGATCTATTTGGATTTTTCCAAGGCATTTGATACCGTTTCACACAATAGATTAGTGTTCAAACTCAAGGAAATCGGTCTAGATGAAAATGCTTGTTCTTGGGTAGAACATTGGCTTAAAAACAGAATACAAAGAGTTGTCATTAATGGTAAATTTTCAAGCTGGACAGAGGTGGCAAGTGGTGTCCCTCAGGGGTCTGTTCTGGGACCCCTTCTATTTAACATGTTTATAAATGATCCTGAAGACAGCATTGAAAGTCATGTTTCAGTGTTTGCAGATGACACAAAACTGTAAAATAATACCATGTGAGCAAGATATTACTTTGTTGCAGAGGGATTTAGATAGACTGGGCACTCAAATGGCAGATGAAATTTAATGTTGAAAAATGCAAAGTTATGCACTTCGGTGTAAAGAAAACACAAGCAATGTATACCCTTAATGGAAGCGTATTAGGGATAACAACACACCAAAAGGACTTGGGAATTGTTATAGACAACAAACTATGCAACAATGTGCAATGTCAATCAGCAGTGGCCAAGGCCAGTAAGGTATTGTCACGCATGAAAAAGGGCATTCATTCTCGGGACGAGAATATAATTTTGCCTCTTTACAAATCACTGGTAAGACCACATATTGAATATGCTGTGCAATTTTGGGCACCTGTTCTAAAGAAGGATATTAAGGCACTAGAAAAAGTGCAGAGGCGGGCTACAAAATTAATAAAAGGAATGGAACAAAGCTATGAAGAAAGGTTAACAAATTTAAACCTATTTAGTTTAGAAAAACGTCGCCTGAGAGGGGATATGATAACATTATACAAATATATTCAGGGCCAATACAAACCATTGTGTGGAAATCTATTCACAAAATCAGACTTTACACAGGACACGAGGCCATGTGTTTAGACTGGAAGAAAGAAGATTTTGTCTAAGGCAAAGGAAAGGTTTTTTTTACTGTAAGAACAATAAGGATGTGGAATTCTCTGCCTGAAGAAGTGGCTTTATCAGAGTCCATACAGATGTTCAAACAGCTACTAGATGCATACTTGCAAAAACAGAATATTCAAGGATATAATCTTTCAATGTAGGGTAATAACTGCTTGATCCAAGGATAAATCTGACTGCCATTCTGGGATCAAGAAGGAATTTTTTTTCCTAGCTTGTTGCAAAATTGTAAGTGCTTCAAAAAACAAATGAGAGAAAGGCTGAACTTGATGGACGCAAGTCTCTTTTAAGCTATGTAACTCTGTAAGCACATTACGGTCCTGGAGTTGCCTAGCCAGTCTCTAGACCTTAATCCCATAGAAAATCTGTGGAGGCAGCTGAAAGTTTGAGTTGCCAAATGTCAGCCACGAAACCTTAATGACTTGGAGAGGATCTTCAAAGTGGGACAAAATCCCTGCTGATGTGTGTGCAAGCCTGGTGGTCAACTACAAGAAAAGTCTAAGCTTTGTGATTGCCAACAAGGGTTATGCCACCAAGTACTAAGTTGAAGGGGTCAAATACTTATCTCACTCATTGACATGCAAATCAATTTATAACTTTTTTGACATGCGTTTTTCTGTTTATTTTGTTATTCTGTCTCTCACTGTTAAAATACACCTACCACTAAAATTATAGACTGATCATTTCTTTGTAAGTGACGTATCGGACCATATAAGTCACAGGAAGTGACGTATCAAAAATACGCTGATCGGAAGAACTGAAGACCAACGCTCACTATTGAAAAGCCGTCACAGAAAGTGAAACGATGACGAAAAAACAGAACTGGAGAAAGAGGCTATATGAGCATTGCTGACATCTTGAGGTAGGAAATGACATTATGCTCGGGATAGGAAGTGCCGCCATATTGGGCATGGCGGCACATATCCGGTCCTGACCATATTTTGCTGTGGGAGGTTTTTTTATAATTGTTTGATTCATTTCTTGGCATATATATTGCCAAGTCTGTCTGAGATATTCATGCACCCGAGGAAGACCTTTTAATAGGTTGAAACGCTTAGTGCTACTTTTGTTTTTTTTAATAATTTGTTAATAAACACTACCTTACATACTTACCCTAGACTCTGGAGTTCCTGTGCTGTAACAGTGCTGAGTTCCTGAGGGCAACTGTTGGAAATTCCATGATATATCTCTTTGATGAGATGAAAAGCACTATAAGTATCGAGCAAACTTTTAATGGGCTCTGAAAATTGTGAGTTTGAAGAAATATTCTTACATACATATATTCTCACATACAGATTACTCTGTGTGTGTGTTTTTTTTTTACTTGTTTAATATAGGTAAAATAAATTTCTGTGTACTGGTTACCAAAGAGATATTAAGTGTAAGGTAAAATATGTATTTCTTTTACGCAAATCACCTTATCTTTTCCCCATTTGATCCTTTTTTTGTCAGTGAGCAAACGTTCAAAATCAGCAGGGGATAAAATACTTTTTTCCCTCACTGTACCTGTTCTCAGACATCAGATCAGACTAGCTTTCTTTCTGATTGAACAGATGAGCGTGTGTACGCTAACAGCCTCAGATTGGTTTCCCTGTGAAGAGACTGAAAGTCTCTTTCAGGGAAAAGGGGGGAGGTTTGAAATTGTGCAGTTCATATCTTTTGCAAGCTCTTTTACGATATGAAAAATGCATGCATGTATTTATTTGTGGTATATCTACTAAACAGTGATTTTTGTTACCCTACATTTGTGACTGTGGATTGGCCTTTAAAGCATTGCTTATAATATTTGCAGTGTCAATAGATAGCCATCACTGATTTAGTGAGTAGTTGCACTAGACATGCCTAAAGAGTGTTTCCCTCTAATGCACTAAGGAAAATGTAAGAGGGCTCATTATAGCCATTTACAGGATCTAGTACAAAGCAGGAATTTTGCTTGATGGATTATAAGCCAGCTAGGAAAATACTATTGAATGCTGTAGCTGATTTGAACTTTTCTATTAGCGGACTTGGCGTACATCAACTTCCTAGAGGTATGAATACCCTAAATCGCCTCTCTATATAAATAAATTTTTCAAAGGCTCAAACCGAAACTTCAAAAACATTTTAAATAGACACCACAAGATGCATTTGTAGTTTAAAGGTCATATTTATTAGGAGATTAAGAGTTGTATTATACTTGTTCTATAAATATAGCACAGCTGACTTTGTTCATAGTCAGACTTATGGACGGCCAATAACTCATTTTGTGGAAACTCTGGTTCGTTTGTTCCAAGAAAAGTTTGCACCATAAGACTTGGATTTTGGCTTTGGAATCCTCTTCTCTTCAACTTCATAACTCCATCCTATAAAACAAACAAAGTGGAGTTTTAGGCTAAGCTACCCTTCCATGTGTGCATACAATAAAACAAGTGGATAATGAGGTATTACTCTGATGTCCTTAGATAGACAATTTTGAGTTAGCCTATAATATGCTGTATTAACTATCAAAATATTGCCAATGAAATGTGATGACACGGACATTTATATACACACAGATCATGTTTTTAGAATTCTGTAGTGCACAGATGGTGATATCATCATTACAGTCATTCCCTGTAATAAAAAGGTAATGCACACATCACTTCCATAGAATCTGGGGGCCCATAGTGGGACCTATATTCCCAAGTGTTATTCGCCACCATTTTGACAACAGCTGAAATAGCTGCCCCCAGGACTTTAACTGCCAATGCAATTAGATCCTCTTCTTTTAAAAGGAACACTCCAAGCATTATAACCACTACAACGCACTTTAGCAAATATGGTGCTAGGAGTAATGTAAGGCCCCTCCCACAGTTTAAGATGTCAAGCCAATTTAGAATGGTTTGACTTCCTAAACGAGGTCCACGGGGTGCTGCTTCCTGTATTCATTGACAGAGCTCTCTGTCTGAGCTGAAACTGCAGTAAAACAGCAAATGAAGCTCTCGGTCAGTGCTCTAGCCCTGCTCTGCACGACGTGGTTTAGGAACAGAAGCTCCTGCCTTACTGTCGGCAGCAGTTAAAGCAGAAAGACACACTCCTTCGACCCCAGGTAAAAAGTCAAACAGTTCTAAAAATATTTGGCCAATTACAATGGGGAGGTATCATGGCACTCCTGGCACCATAACCACTACAGGTTATGGTGCTTGGCATATTTATTTAACCCCTACACAATCACACAGGATTAAACACTTTGCTACCATCATCACATTAACAAAGATCAATCATGTAAATAATGCTGTACTGCACACGTGGTGATGTAACCCATGTAATTATTTTTTGTAATGAAAGACTAATCATGCACAGGTCATTTGCATGCATCATTTCGCATTATGCAAGGGTAATAATACACAGATCATCTCTGTGCAGTCTGGAGGCACTAATCTCAACAAGCTCCTACAGTGAGTCCTAAAACCAAACACTTAACATTAACCCTACTCTAACATATTACATGTCCCAAGTAAGCCTGATATTAGGGCGCCAGCATGCACACAGGTGATGCACGCAATTTAGACCTTTGCAAAAACTAGTTTCAGCCATAAACAAATTGATTAAAAACCTTTTACTCCACAGAGAATGTATGCATTTGTTTTGAAAAAAATTTTCAGGACAATTCTATTTGTTTGGGCACACATTGAAAGGATTTTGATTTGTTTAAATCTATTGATTTATGGACATAAATACAACATTTTTTTTGCTTAAGTCTAGCTTGCATTACTATCTACTCATTACAGGGAATAATTTAGTACGATTATAAAATGTGATATGCAGATAAAAAAGGGGCAGACCATGTAAATAACTGAACTAACAAGATCTGTCTGATTGTAACAGCTAATCGAACAGCAAGCTAATTTTAGAACAAATACCTTTTCACATGCTGTTCAGCTTATTGTGTATTAAAATTTGCCTGTAAACAGAACTTTACAGATATACCTGAAGTTTCCTTTTGCCTCTCTACACATCAAATGACCTTTAAACGCATGTGTAAAATCTAACAATACCTAGCATGTGAATTATTGGAATGATTTAAACTTCAATAATGCGCCCAGACAATAAAAGACTATATTCTCTATTTCCTTTTTATCGGTATGTCTGCCTCTCTGTATGATTTTAATTGTAAACAATACCTTTCTACAGATTACTTACCATTTTTTTCAGCAAAGGCAATGGCATCTTCTTTTGAGGTGAATGACAGCAGCATATTGGACAAAGGATCGGCACTTCAAAGAACATATATAAAATAGAATTAGAAAAACAATCCTTAAATACTTTTAACTTACTATGCACACAGTGCTACAGCTTGTCTTTTCAGTAAACAATACTCATGTTTATTAAGAGAATTCTATCAAATAGTTCATCTTCCATATCAAAGTTTATTGCATTAACTAGGGCCATATACTTTTTTTTTCAGGACACATACATACATATCTTAAGGTATTTTCCTTAAATGTATACTTTTATGACAATGTAAGAAATTTTATTATATATGTAATTACCAATATGAGTAAAGAATAAACAGAAAACAAAATAAAATGAAAATTTAATTTGACCAAATACATTAGAAAATTAGACATTTTAAGCTAGAATGGACACTTTCATTCAACTGCAGGTCCTCAAATTTATAGTAACAAACAATAAAAAAATATTAAGGAGCAGTGGTGCTAAAATTAAAATAATCACCCAGATGTCATGTCACTTTAACACTTAATACATACATAAAATCGGGATAAGAACAAGGTAACACACACACAGCAAACAATGGCTGTATAAAACACGAAATGCCATGTTTTCCAGGTCATTTTTTATACTGCTATTGTTTGCTTGAAGTACTATCTTATCCTGATTTTAGGTCTTCAAATTTGACTTGTAGACTTAATTGTTACTCATGAAGTTGCAAACCACTGAAATGTCTTTCTTTGTGCAAATAGTTTAAGATGGTTTTCATTAAAGATTTATTTGTTTAAAAGCTACCAAGCAGTCCACAAATAGAATTATTCACACTTGTCATGAATGATGCTATACGAAGACAGTACATGTTCTATCACTTCTATTATTCTGCGGATTTATTCATGTATATTTTGAAATGATCAGGTTTAATTTACAAGGTAAATTTTTGTGTTGACTTGCATCTAAACAGTTTCAGTGAAAAAGGATGTTGCAGATGGACGTGAAGTAGTGGTGGTGGAAGACAGCCACTAGAGGCTGGATTAACCCTGCAATGTAAACATATCAGTTTCTCTGAAGCTGCTATGTTTACAGCTGCATGGTTAAAACCCTGCGGGACCTGGCACCCAGACCACTTCATTGAGCTGAAGTGGTCTGGGTGACTATAGTAGTCCTTTAAGAATTCTGGTTTAAAAAACAAAAAGAAATTAAGGTTTTTATTGTTCCAGATTAATGGAGAATACAGATACTTTTCCTTACAATTAAATACATCCATTGCTCCATTAATAGTGATGCGAAACCAATTCCATAGCTTAAAATTCTAGCTATAGGTTTGTTCCACTGTCATTTAAGTTTTTTTTTGTGTTTAAGGGTTTAAAGTGCTCCCATTCACATTATATATTTTTTGTTAAAGGACAGAAAGAGCTTTTATATAACATCCTATATACTTATACCTAACATTCTGTGTGAATAAAATGTTAAATGAAAAGAAAAAAATCCCAACCCCCCCCCCACACATTTTTGCTTACAATAATTTTTACACATCCAGTGCAACTAATTAAAAAGATCTCAAAATTGATTCACACATCAGTTCTGATTGTTAAATGCCTAATATGATAAGGATTTACATTTTTGATAGTCAACGCTAAACCAATTAGCACTAGCGCTACACAAACCACCCCCTTAACCAATGCTTACACTAACGGTATACCTACCCTAATCTTACCGTTAATCTCAAGACGACACAACCTTTAATCCTAAAACGGCATTAACTTACACCCAGAATAACCCTACACTAACCCTAACTCTACCCCAACACTAAGTGTAACCCTACCCTACAGTTATCCTTAATTCTAGCCCTAACCCTACCTTAACCTAGCCCCAATCCTAAGGTAACACACTGCCAATGTCAGTTCTGATAAAAGAAATGGATGTTACTTCATTTAAAACCGTAGATGGTGGTATACTGCCACCATCTACTGGCCGTTTTCAGAATTATATGTAGTGTAAGTCTGAATGGACATGGATCCCATCATATTATATAGAGATCAGTGCTGGGCTGCTGGCAAAGCCTAGCACTGGTCCCAATCCATAAAATCCCTACTATTCAGACCCTGGAGGGTCTCCTCAAATCTGCCTGCATTACAGAAAAAAAAAAGAATGTTGCTAAGCTCTGAGTTAAAGGGCTCTGTGTAGCTCATTGATCAGTACGGGCCTCTAACAATGGCCCCAGTTGACTTACAGGATCCCCAGGTATCCATTGACACCTAGGATTAGTTGTGTGAGCACGGGTAAAACCCTGCTCATCCCACAATCTTTACATTTATAGACACGGAATTGTAACCAGACAAGCTGGACGCACAGGAAAAAAGGGGCTGTCTCTCATTTAGTAGATATTAATTAAAAATACATCTGCAACACTTGATGTGTAAACATTTTTATAACAAAAACAGTTTTCCGCCCCAGTTTTAACATTTTGTTCATACTTAAAGAGACATTTACTTCAGGTACCAATAGAACATTAAAACATTTGAAAGATTTAATCCTTGTTAATATGCAATTTTTTTGTATTCTCAAAAAACCTTGACCGTTTTTACACACACACACACACACACAAAAAAAATAATATATATATATATATTTATATATATATATATTTTGCAGAATACAGCAATCAGCCTACCTCCTTAGCCACGGCTCCTCAGTGCAAAAACACTTCCTTTTCTCAAATGTACAGAGTCTCAGTTCCAACAGTCAAAGAGACTACAAACAGACAATTATACCCTTACTATGTGACTCCCTATGTGTGCTCTCCTAATATAGGCTGTTTTGTAGTACAGATCATCCAGTATTGTCTGTGGCGGAGTTGTGTGCATACATTTGATAAGTAAGCCTTCGTCTGGAGTGAAAAATATGGCTAAATAGGCAGGCTTACGGTGCAGCATTTTGCAAAACGTTTTATGCAAAAAGTACAAAATAAAAAATACAGCATATTAATGAGACATTAATGATATATAGGTGACACAAGTGTCTCTTTAATGTCGTTTTAGGTTTTCATTTAAAATTTTAAAGGTAAGAAATTGCCTTCTTCTAATAAATAGAGAGAAACCCTTGAATTACAGAACACACAAATACTAGGTTTAGGTTTTAGTTCAGTGATTAGACAAACACCTTTGTTCTTAAGGGTGGAATCTTGAGAAACAGAAGAAAATTAATTTTAAGGGACACAAAAGAAGTTTTTATGGTGCCAGGAGGCCCCAGGGGCACTCTTATCTCAAGGGGTTAAACTTAAAGTTGCCTCCAGCGGCAAATGTCCACTTCATCTCCTCCCAGGCAGTATCAGGCTTTTGAAATTTCACTTTCAGGAAAGTGTGGAGTGGCACTCCGCTCTTCCTAAAATTTCAGAAGCCGGATGCCGCCTGGGGGAGGGGGAGTGGACATCTCCGCTGGAGGCAACTTTAAGTTTACTCCTTGAAGTTAGAGTGCCCCCAGGCACCATAACATAATTTAGAGTAAGTTGTTTTAGTGCCTGGAGTGTCCCTTTAAATGACCACTAGTGACCCAGACCACTTCATCGCAATGACATGGTCTGGGTAAAGTGGTCCTGTAGTTTTAACCATTCAATGTAAAACATTAACGTTTTGTAAAAACAGCATTGCCTACATTAAAGGATTAAATACTCCTCTCATGGCTTTCAGGAAGACAGACACTCACTTGAGGTGCTACCTCCTCCATAACCAAGTCAAACTCGCTCAGGCAAATTGATGAAAGAGGTGCTGGGTCGCGAATGCATATCTTGTCTTCCAATGCTTCTTTATTATAATGGAATGGATGAGATCGCAGAAGACATCAGCAAGTATGCTGATGTCTTTGGAGGCAGAGCATGAGGAATCTTGGGTGCTGGAAATTAGGTGAGCAAATTTAATTTAACTTAAATTTTTATTGGCAAAGTGGATAGATTGTAGGCACAGTGCTAGAAGGGAATCTATAGTCCCAAAAGAAATGCTGTTATTTTTGGTACCTTTGAAGATCTGTAGCACATGTAACTGTATACAAACCATGGTTGAAACTTACGTGGAAGCCCAGCCCATTAATGGATTTTCCCACCGCTCACGTGTATCAAACTCCATCTTCCATTTCTTTGTGTTTTGCACGCCAGACTGCATTGCATTCCGTGCAGGAACAAAAATGTGGACTTTCCTAGTTTTGATATGCTCTTCCGGAACTCCAGTTATGGAAGTGATATCCTTTAAAATAAAGGAAATTGATGTTTTTAAATACATAAATAAAACAAAACACATTTTCATAGGATGTTATCACATGACATCAAGATATTTCATGTTAGATGTCATGCTTAAAGAGCTCATTAAAAGGATACTACAGGCACCCACACAGGTTGGGTGGCGTGTATAGTTTAAGTTACTGTTCTCTATGCTGAACGTGTTTTCTTTTCTTAGTCTGTTTTTTATTTCATCTTTTCTCTTTAGCACCTTCTGCTGTTTCCTTATGTAATTATTCTTTAATCTTATTTTTCTTTTTTTAAACCCAATTTATACCAACTGATCCTTCCTGTAGTTTGTCACTTGTACAAGAGACAGCAGAAAAACAAGGTGTGGCGGTTGTGATTATTTTTTTTTTTCAACCTACAGTTTTCACTGATTGCACTAGTGAAAGCATCTCAAGCAACATACATTCCAACAATAGGCTGCAAGGGCACACAGTTTATAAACAGATACCTCTGCATACTGATGCCTCTCAACCCATATAGCAAGGTTGGTGGCAGTCTACCAGAACATGCCATGGCTGGTGTACACCAGATTATTTCTGGATAGTTTGCAAGTGAGGGCGTCTAGGAAAAATGCTGTGTCCAGGAATAATGTTTGATCGGCTTCTGGTTTGTCGGATTGTCCAAGGAGCTTTGGAAAAGTTATAAGCAAAACCTTTTTTTTTTATTTTCCCATTCTTTAAATATTTTATTCATACTCATTTTGTTTTATGTATATGCAGAATCAGAAGAAATCCCTATTCTTATGTGAAAGAATTATACATAATATGTATAAATGCACTTCAAGAGGAAGCATTACAGTTGCATGAATACACAACAAAAGCGCCAAAAGAGCCTTGGTAACGAACACATCTTGGAAAAGTCTTTGTCACAAGGAGGTTAAACCATTTTACCATAAATTTAATGCATAGATGAAAGTGTCTAGTATCCCTCTAACTATATTTACACCTACCTGAATAAGAATCTGACTTAATTATTATACATAACATGCACAGATTATTTTCTCAAACCATAAAAAATGATATTCTCAAACCCTAGAAAGAAAGAAGACAATATTAACCTAAATTATTTTGAATGCTCTATATGGTGATCTGCAAGGTTCCTACAATTTGAATTTAGAAGTAGGACCCGCTATGCACCATGATGTCTTGGGATGCAACCACAACTCTTGGCTGATAGTTTTCTACCACCTCTGGCTGGAATGTCTGCTCTCACAACACATTTTAATAGTTACCATCTTTTTTGTCTCAAGCCCTGGTCATGGGCAACCATAGGGCTGAATGGGGAGAGCGAGACAAAAATTAGTTGAAGCTTTTTTATCCAGATTAGACGTATACATTTGGGAATGCTAAATCTACTAAAAGTTCTACATTTGAGGGTCAGCAGATGTGGCTACTCCCAGGATTTTAACACTTCAAAATATGCTGATATTTGAATTGCATAACCAAAAAAACAAGCCAAAAGCAATTTACTCATAACATTGTTTTCCCTACAAAGTGAAGAAGCAAGAAAAAAACCAACCAACCAAAAAACAAAAAAACAACCACGAAAGCACTAATTGTATATAAACGCCTTTAAATTTACTCTTAAAAGCAGTAACACTTTTTGGATCTGAACGAATTGCTTTCAACGTTTCTACATTGTGAAGTTTCTTGTCTATGTGCAGACTAGACATGAACTGTAAGGAGCAATGCATACAGACCAATTCCCCTCTTCCCCCCTGAAAAATAACAAATACAAACAAAAAAAACACTAGCAGTGATTAATGCCAAGAATGTGAGCCCCGATTCTCTTTGCATAGATAAGTTTGTAACATAGTAAAAAACTACTATTGAAGTGGACTGATTTTGTGTATACTACCAAAATTATGCAGTCAACTTACAGTGACACATATTACACAACAGAGACTGCGTGATTTCACTCTGTGTGCAGTCATGTTTGCGGTCTGTAGTTGCACCTGTTTTAAAAAAAAAAATTGTTTAAAAAATTGTGCGTTAAGTATAGCTATTTGCTTCAGCCAACAAGCTGTTCTTGGTTAACAAGCGTCTTTGCTTTGTCAGCCCGCAGGGTGTCCTGTGGAAGATTTTTCCATACAAAAGCATGCATGTCATCTGAAAATGCCAGTCTAGACAGTATTGAAGGGACTTCAGCAGAAAGTGGGTCATAGCAGGCCGTGGAATCCTTTCCTACCTTACAAACATTCAACTGCCTGCAAGCGACAAAACTGCTTTAGTCTCCAATTTATTTTGAAACTTCTTTAACATTCTAATCCCAGGGGTAGACAATACATTGCACTTCCTTCTAGAATTCAGAGCAAACATGAAAATGTATTAATGCACTTGCTGTGCTGTATATTCAAACACAGATATTATGCTCTTGTTACAGGTTTTGAGCACCTGTACGGACCACTAGAAGGACCCTCCCCACCCCACTCCCATAAACAAACCAAAACCAAACCTGTACAGTTTTGTCATTGTTATAGTGCTTAAAACAATTCTACAAAAAAAAAAAAGCCCTAATGTTTCAATATGATGAGAACCTTATCAGGCTTACTGGTATAACAAATTCGATATTAGCACTTAAATAAGCATATTCATGAGGTTTCACTTTGGGTATATAACAGTTCATAAAGTACATATCAAAACTAATTCAAATAGCACACTGACCGCAGTCCACTCTTTCAAATACTTGGATATGTTGTTAGACCCAAATCTATCTTTTGGCCTCCACATAGAAAAACTTGCATCTAAACTTTATCCAAAACTAGGTGCCCTGTACAGAAACAAATCCTGCCTAAGCCCTACAGTAAAGGAAAAGATTGTACAGCAAATGCTGATGCCAATCTTTGATTATGGGGGATGTAGTATATGCACCTGCACCGCAATCCCACATTAATAAACTCAGTACATTGTATAACTCATTCTGATGCTTTCTTCTACAATGTAATTACAGGACTCACCATTGTGACATGCTAAAAGAACTAAACTGGCTGTCGCTGGAATCCAGACGCACCCTTTTTAAGAGCTTTTCTTGGAAGCTCCTGTCCTACCTGAGCAGAATGCTCTCCCCGGCTGTTCCGACCTCCTATAACCTCCGATCCAGTACCAGCACTTTACTTAGTCTACCTCAATACAAAAAGAAAGCGGCCCGATCCTCCTTTTCCTACAGAGCGCCGCAATTATAGAACGACCTCCCGCACACTTTCTAATCTTCCCCAAGCCTCTGTCAGTGAGTGAGTCTGTCAGTGTGTGTGTCAATGTTGCATTGGCTGCAAATGGACAGTGGAGTACCTGGAGTTACGCAACGCCACGTCACATTCCGATGTGACATCAACGTGCCCCACTTTCACAGGGTTTCAAGAAGTAGTGGGAGGATCAGATTTGGCACAGGGTGCGTACGGCACCATTTGGGGTATACCAAAGGCCGGACTCCGGAGTTGCATACTGGCAGCGGCTAGAGGGGGGTGCTGGTATTTAGAAGAGGGGGAGGACTAGGATTTAGTATATGGGGGTGGGGGCTGGGATTTAGTAGAGGGGGGTGCATTTAAAAAAAAAAAAAAAAATACTGTAACTTTCAAAATCAACCTACGTTTCTATGAAAATTTAAGGTTGTTTTTTTTGCGGCCCACATGAACTTAAACCTTGTTTATGTGGCCGTGCTAGACTTTGAGTTTGACATGCTTGCTTTAAGAGATCCCCTCTCTACATACCTCAAAACAGAATGCACGTGTTATGGTTGATTATATATTTCCTACCTGTTCTATGTTAAATTTTGTATATATTGTGTATGAATATTGTTTTTGTATTTTATTGAACCCTATTGTAAAAATGCAATGTTTTGTGGACCCAGGACATACTTGAAAACCAGAGAAATCTCAATGCATCTTTCCTGGTAAAATATTTTATATATAAATAAGTACATATTCCTTAATTTTCATAGGGCTGTCAATCCCAGAGGGACATTTATTGTCTACTTCTTGGGGCAGACTTGTCCTTAATAAAGTACATTCAATAAAGAGAGGTGTATCTTTTATTTATGCTGATCGAATAGATTAAAGTCTCAAATACAAACTCTGCACATGGGAAATCAAAGTGTATTTGAAATCAGATACCTGCGAACATCAAAGCTTTGTCAATTTTTTTTAGCAGTGATTTTAAATATCTCCTAAAAATGGTAGCTTTAGCGAGCAATGATAATATCAGTAATATTATGCCATCAAATAAAATTCTGCAGTCATTGCTCAAATAGAATATAATACTGACATGCTTCAATTAATTAATAATTTTCAATGGTCTACTTGTTGTTTGTCCTAAATAATTTAATGTGTAGACTGAAAACAGTTGAGTATGAAAGTATTTACCCCAATGCACCTGGAACATGTGTTAGTCTAACAGATCAGCTGGTTACATTGTAAATTGTTACCATGATTAGAGTAACAGCTAGATGGAATATATGATTTCATGCCTATTAAAATAACTTATAAGACCCTGCTGAGCCCTTAATTAACAAGGCGTTTCCAGAATATTTTATACAGGAAGCACAGTTAAGGAGAAAACCATTATTTGGACAAATTAGTCATGTAACATTAAAGTCAGTCCGCCCATCCCCCTTTGTATAGCTGCACTCTACAAATTCTCTTTTTCAACTAAGGAGTAAAGATATTATGTTGATAATTGCAGTGTTGTTAATATTACATAGCAGAGTTGATCTCTTGCCTACCCTCCTAGATAGAATACATCACTAACTGCCCCTCTCCTATCCTAAAATGAATGTATTCCTGTTTTCTAACACAAACTTCAAATATTCAAGATCACTTGATTCAGGTCATGTAAAACACTTTTAACCGTATTAGCCCCGAACACAAGAAGCAACCAAATAATTTGTTCATGCACTCATCAATTATTGCCTTGACTACTGTAACTTGCCCCATTTCAATCTGTATTGAATGCTGCCAACAGGATTTTCTTCAGAACTCTTCACAACTTTTTGTGTCATTTTACCCCACTCCCTCTAGCATGTAAGCTCATTGAGCAGGACCCTCAACCCCTCTGTTCCTGTGTGTCCAACTTGTCTGGTTACAACTACATGTCTGTTCGTCCACCCATTGTAAAGCGCTGCAGAATTTGACGGCGCTCTATAAATATAATAATAATAATAACTCTTATATCTCACCGAGTCCTAAGGCTTAGCATACTTTTCAGTATTCAATTCAAACTCTCTCTAACTTATAAAGTCCTCAACAATTTCACTCCTCATTGCATCTCCTCTTTAAATTAATCCATACCTTCTTGTTCCATTCACTCTGTAATTGACTTTTTTTGTCCTTTATTGGTTTCTATATTGCAAATTCAAATGATATCCCAAGGCAAACACCATTCCTGTGGAATGTCCAGTCTTGTCTTATTAGAATTCTGCCAAGATCTAGACCTTTATTGTGGCTAGCTTTCCTCAAGAGGTGGACTTTCAGTAAGAAACATAGAATGTGACGGCAGATAAGAACCATTCGGCCCATCTAGTCTGCTCAATTTTCTAAATACTTTCATTAGTCCCTAGCCTTATCTTATAGTTAGGATAGCCTTATGCCTATCCCACGCATGCTTAAACTCCTTTACTGTGTTAACCTCTACCACTTCAGCTGGAAGGCTATTCCATGCATCCACTACCCTCTCAGTAAGTAATACTTCCTGATATTATTTTTAAACCTTTGTCCCTCTAATTTAAGACTATGTCCTCTTATTGTGGTAGTTTTCCTTCTTTTAAATATAGTCTCCTCCTTTACTGTGTTGATTCCCTTTATATATTTAAATGTTTCTATCATATCCCCCCGGTCTCATCTTTCCTCCAAGCTATACATGTTAAGATCCTTTAACCTTTCTTGGTAAGTTTTATCCCGCAATCCATGAACCAGTTTAGTAGCCCTTCTCTGAACCCTCTCTAAGGTATCAATATCCTTCTGAAGATACGGTCTCCAGTACTGTGTACAATACTCCAAGTGAGGTCTTACCAGTGTTCTGTACAATGGCATGAGCACTTCCCTCTTTCTACTGTTAATACCTCTCCCTATACAACCAAGCATTCTGCTAGCATTTCCTGCTGCTCTATTACATTGTTTGCCTACCTTTAAGTCATCAGAAATAATCACCCCTAAATCCCTTTCCTCATATGTTGAGGTTAGGACTCTATCAAATATTCTGTACTCTGCCCTTGGGTTTTTACGTCCAAGATGCATTATCTTGCACTTATCCACATTAAATGTCAGTTGCCACAATTCTGACCATTTTTCTAGTTTACCTAAATCATTTGTCATTTGGCTTATCCCTCCTGGAACATCAACCCTGTTACATATCTTAGTATCATCAGCAAAAAGACATACCGTACCATCAAGACCTTCTGCAATATCACTAATAAAAATATTAAAGAGAATGGGTCCAAGTACAGATCCCTGAGGTACCCCACTGGTGACAAATCCAAGCTTCGAATATATTCCATTAACTACAACCCTCTGTTGCCTGTCACTCAGCCACTGCCTCACCCATTTAACAATATTGGAATCCAAACTTAAAGATTGCAGTTTATTGATAAGCCTTCTTTGTGCAACAGTGTCAAAAGCCTTAGTGAAATCTAGGTAAGCAATGTCTACTGCACCACCCTGATCTATAATTTTAGTTACCCAATCAAAAAAATCAATAAGATTAGTTTGGCAAAACTGAATCATGGGACACGGCAACCAATGCCGAAACCCGGGATCGAACCAGGGACCTTTAGATCTTCAGTCTAACGCTCTCCAAACATAAATAAAGCAGTAAGGTCTTAATAGGTGACTCTTCTCTTAATAGCAGGCCCTCCATCCCTCCACATGTTCCAACAGCATATTTCACTCAATGGCTCCTCCACACAGCACTTCAAGAAGTTTAACTAGTGTTACTAGTGTACTTGAACTACAAAGGTATGTATATTTTTGTTTCAAGGTCTTTTACTGGAGTAAGAGAAGATGGAAGCCACTAAGTGAAAATTCATTAAAAGAAAGACAAATATTTTGCAAGTATTAAAATCCTAGACATACCATAAAGTAAGTCTCAGGAGTTGGTGAATAAAGTGTTAGATCAATTCATTTGTTTTGTAGATGTGAAATTCAATCAAGGAATTCAAGATGGTTTTGTATGTAAACTATTGTTGTCAATTATCCTCAATTCTATGATTTCAAAGAAAGCAGATGGACTTAGGACGAGCCAAATGGTAGATTGGTACACAGATAAAAGGGGGGTAACCCCAAATTGAAACTATATACGTGAGAGGGGTGTACCACGAAACGGGACTGAGATTGGTATCAAATGCAGAGGAAATCTTTATTGATCCAAACTAGGAAAACAACATAAGATAAAATATTTATTATAAAAATTATTAAAATAGCACGGTGTAAATGGCAAATAATGTAGTGCTTGTGTACTGTGATCCAAACAAAAGTGAAAAAAAGTAGAGGATATAAATCTAAGCACAAGAATTGTGCCAAGAATTCTTACTAAATAGGTCTCAATAGGGTGATATAATAGGGAAAAACCCTTCATACTAGGATAGGTACTGAATGGCTATTGGCCTGAAAGTTCACAGATTATCAGTATCGGCTCTAAAAAAAAAAATTCAATATCGGTCGATCCCTAATGTATGTATGCAGGTCGTTTGTTGCAACATTTGACATATCCATCCACAGTGCCTGATTAGTACCCACTGTTAAACTGCTTCACAGGCAGTGGGGAGGTTCAAGGCACACAGGTAGGGCTTAAGTACTACTTGCATATGGAAAACCTATGAATAAATCTATAATCTTAAAGGACCACTATAGCTTAATGAAGTGGTCTGGGTGCCAGGTTTAACCCTTTTTTCTATAAACATAGCAGTTTCGGACAGCCGCTAGAGGCGCTTACGTGCTTCTTACTGTGATTTTCACAGTGAAGACGCCAGCGTCCATAGGAAAGCATTATGAATGCTTTCCTATGAGACTGGCTGAATGCGCGCGCGGCTCTTGCCGAGCATTCGCATTCAGCCAAGGATGAGGAGAGGAGGCAGAGAGCAGGAGGAGAGCTCCCCGCCCGGCGCTGGAGAAAGAGGTAAGTTCCATTCTCTCCATCCAGCCCGACAGGAGGGGGACCCTGAGGGTGGGGGCACCCTCAGGGCACTATAGTGCCAGGAAAACGAGTATGTTTTCCTGGCACTATAGTGGTCCTTTAAGACATGAACTGCCATTAATTTATATGCAGACCAATTAATCTTTTTTTCTTATTAAACTGGATTTAGTAAAGCAATCTGCAAAGCTGGGGCGGTCTTCAGGGATGAGAGAAAAACAAACAAACAAAACAACCATGCCAATGGTGTACGGAAGCTGCATGCACAGTTTTGAAAAACAGGAAATAGCAAAGGAGTAAATACAAAACTCCTGTAGTGGTTATGGCACACAGTATGTTCCTTTAAGATACATGGGGCATAAGAAAATGAAAACCAGAAAGAAAAAAAAAAAAAAAAAATACATGACAATGTCAGATATACTAACAGACCAATAACCTTTCTGCTCTGAGTACACAATAATTGCATAAACACCGACTATATTACTGATTTGGTGGTTTAAGTCTCTTTTTGCTCATACTTCCCTTATTTTCCCCTTCCCCCAATACCTTATGTCAATGGACTCTTATCCAACATACAATTTTTAATCCTACTAGCGGTGACAGAAATGAGCCTGGAAAACAGACAATTTAATCAAATGTTTGATTTTACAAGTCTCATGGAGAAACCTAAACATCGTTTTTTCCAAATGCATGGCAATGAAACAAATCCTTGATGCTGTCACTAGAACATCCATAAGAAATACGCTATGTCTCGTTTTTTGACTTCACCTCGTAAAGTAGAAAATTTTATCTGGGCCATGCATACAACAGGTAGGACATGTTCCAAGCATTTCTGGGTCACGGACTTTCTAGCAGTATCTCAATGTTGCCAGACTATGTAATCCAATCAAATACGTGATGTTGATTTGGCACCAGACAAAGTATGGTGTATGGATGCAGTAACATTTTAAAGGAGATGCAAAAGATTACTAAACAGACATTATATACTTACATACACACAGTGAACAGGGTATTTTAAGTAAAAAATGCTATCTAAATATTCTGGAGACATAATATACAACGGGACATCTAGAACTCAGACTAAGACTGCATTTTCCTTTGACTCAAATCATATTTTAGTGTTAGAAATGGGGCTCCTTTAATCAGTGACGCCCCTGCCTGACAGCACTCTGCTGTTCCTGAAAGTGAAATCTCAGAAGCCAGATGTGGCCTGGTGGGTAGTGGACATCCCTGCTGGAGGCAACTTCGGGGTTAAACCGTTAAAGAACTGTTCACCACCTTGAGGCAAGAGTGCTCCCGGGACCCTCTGGGCGCCATAACAACTTCATTTAGATCAAGTTATTTTGGTGCCTGGAGTGCCCCTTTAAGTGTGTACTTCCATGTTCAAGGTTCTGCCAAAAAGGTGTATAAAAAAAGCTTAATAACACTGGCAATTAAAATCCTAACCTATTATAATGCATTAGTGGGACTATTGTAACTTTTTTAAGCACATCTGAAAAGCTCTTCAACGTAGATTTCCCCCCCACCCCAAACAACCCCTTTGTGCAATTAATTGATACAAAACTGCAGGAAGTAAAAAACAAACAAAAAATCAGTTTAACCCCTTATGGACAGAACTTCTGGAATAAAAGGGAATCATGACGGAATATTTCCGTCATGTGTCCTTAAAGGGTTAATAATCCTGAGATTTGAATATGAAAATACTAGACCAGAGCTTGGTTATTGATATTTCCAGAAATGCTACTTCTGTCATTACACTGACTTGAAGCCACTTAAGTATAACAGTCAGCAGAGGTAGATAGCAAATAAAGGAAATAAACACTACATACCAGGCTTATATTAACAACTACATAAAAACAAAAAAACAAATAATTACGTGAGGAGGTAAAAACAAGGCACTTGGCAAAATTCCAGCTTAGAAACTGAAAAGCATTATCAATGGGAAAAAAAGATTGCAGAGGGTAAAAAAACAAAACAAACAAAAACAGAAGTATGAATTTGGTAACCCAGAACAGGAAAACAAAATAGGAAAAATGCACATGGCTACAGGAAGTCTGAGCCCTTAGGAGTAGTTGTGGCCTTCTGCAGCTCTCCTATGGGAAAATAGGGTTTCACGTTGGGAACAACCCCGAGATGTGTAGATGGTGGCTTCAGACTGTGGGGGTTGATGTCCAGGGCTTGTATTAAATTGTAAATCATTAATATCTGTAAGTTGTAGGTGGAGCCATCCTTAGGGACTTGTAGCGAACGAGGACTTTCCCCATTGATAAATGATACCTTTATCCCTAATGTACCAATGACTGGACGGAGAGAATGCCTTCACATGCCGCCCCCCAAAAAAAAAACAGCTTAGAATACAAGCTTATAGGAATTAAATTCACACAAGAGCAAGCAGACAAGATCACCATCTTGTCCAACAGCAAAACAAATTGCACAATAAAATCCAGTGAAGATGAGCTAGAGTCTCTTGCCGATCTCAGGGTGCATAAATAATAATCCGGTACAATTTCCTTGGCTCTCTTTTGTGGCAGGCTAAGAAACAGGCGATGGAGGTTGGGGTGCATTTTTACATTCGTGTGTCGACTCTTGAACCTTATCCTCATCTGCTGCTATCATCGTGCTCTTGTGGTATGTACAGTGAGGGAAAAAAGTATTTCATCCCCTGCTGATTTTGAACGTTTGTCCACCGAGGAAGAAATGATCAGTCTATAATTTTAATGGTAGGTGTATTTTAACAGTGAGACAGAATAACTTAAAAAAATAAATCCAGAAAAACGCATGTCAAAAAAGATATAAATTGATTTGCACGTCAATGAGTGAAATAAGTATTTGATCCCCTATCAATCAGCAAGATTTCTGGCTCCAATGTGGTTTTTTATGCAGGTAACGAGTTGAGACTAGTAGCGCTCTCTTAAAGGGCTATACCGCGAGTAGGGGCATGTCTAGTAAACAGCTATCAAACAACCAGAGTTATGAGTCAAATTACACAGCATGGGAAAATCCCAAAGAACTTTCCCACGCTGTGTAAAATGACACAGAGCACTCAGATTGGTTGGATTTCAAGCCAACCAATCAGAGCGATCTGAACTCTGAAGGCTCTCCCCTGCGGAGCTCATTCTGTGCTGTGCCATCCATGGTTGAAGATGGATTATTTTTTAGCGGCTTTTTTTTTTTTTTGCGCTCGGGTTTATTTTATTTTCAAAGTGCGACGGGTATTATGGACTTTTATTTGGCCCTGTTTTGGGGTTAAAAAAAAAAAAAAAAAAAAAGTTTTATTTAGTTTTTGCAGGTATTTAGTTCTCTTATTCCCCCCCCCTCACTATTTTTAGGATGAGGGGAGTAGTTGGGGTTTAATTTTTTTGGGGGGGGGGGGCTTGGGGACCCCTAGTTACATGGGTGGGGGCCATTTTGACATTAGGTCCCCTCCTGTTTTTATTTAGGGCCCCCGCCGGCCAGTCAGGGATGGGGGCAGTACAAAAGGTCCCCCCTGCACATTTTCATTTAGGGCTCCCACCCGCCGCCCAGGGGTAGGGACCGCGGGGGGAAGACAATGGTGAGTAAGGGCAGAATGGCGACTAAGGGCAGAATTGACTAACACTAAGTAATCTTTACTTCGTATTCGTACATTTGGCTGAAAGACCAATTTAGGTCTTTCAGCCTTTTGGTAGATCGCTCCCTGATACAGTGGGAATTAGGGAGTTATCTACTAAGCGGCTGCAAGATGCAGTCGCAGCACAAATAGGATCGGCGTTTTGTTCATTCAAATGAAATTCTGATCAAAACAAAGCCCCGAATTGCGTCCTACCACGACTGGAGAAACTGTTCTCATTCTGTTAGACAGAATGCCGGCGAAACTACCGAATTTCGTCCTAAGTGACAGGATGTTTTGTAATAGTGAAAGCAGGCATCACGAGATCACAGAGGAAAGGTAAGAATTGTGGGGAAATTTCTCTGCTCCGCTGGTCAGGCGTAAGAAACCTCCATAAGACAAAGTAGTCTCTACTTTGTCTTATGCTTTAAAGAAAACTAGAGCAGATAGGAAGAAATGAAGAACAGATCCCGAGAGAGGGAGAGAAGAGGAATCGATTAAAGGTAAGTGCTGCTTTAAGTTTCCCCCAAATAAATATAATTTGGTTGGGACAACCTAAGATAACCAGTTTAAAAATGGTCTTCGTGGTGGCAGTTTTTATACTAATATAGGTGTGGTGGTTTTAAGAGGGATTTTTATTTGTTTTAATATTTTAGGTCTAATGCAAAAAAACAAACAAACAAACAAATATATTTTTTTTAACCCTTTCACCCCCATGTCCAACTGGGATTGGTGGTGTTTGTGACAACAGTGCTCTGTGTGATGGATGGGTGAGACATGGTTGCAGTTACAGGCCACCTTTGTTAAATCAGTCGGCTAATTTTCAAGCCAATTTTCGCACCGGGGCCCAGTGATTTCTAGTTACACCTCTGAGTAGCATGGTGAGTGAGATAAACATCTTCCTACTCAGTGATGAGATTCGCTTATGACAATTATCAGAATCTATTATTGAATTTATCGATTAATTGTGCAGCTCTAAAGATTTTATGTATAAGTTAGGATTATTTATAAAAAAAAATAAAAAAAATAAAAAAATACAAAGAACGAACAACAACAAAATTTGCTACCTGCAGCACGCCCCCTCCCCCCTACACACAGCAAACCTGATAACAGTAGATTTGTGTAGAAATAGTTTTTTTTTTAAATGGTAAATATACAGAATATCGGTAAGTTATCGGCTATCAGACTGAAAGTTCACAGATTATCGGCTCTAAAAAATCAATATCGGTCGATCCCTACTTCAGACACACACACACAGCACTTCTCAGACACACCACTCCACACACACTTCGCACCCGTACACACAAACATGTGTGTGTGTGTATTCAGCAGTCTGTATGTATTTAGCAGTCTGTGTGCATGTATTCAGCAGACTGTGTATTTAGAAGTCTGTCTTGTGTGTACTCGGCATTCTGTGTATGTATTCAGCAGTCTGTGTGTCTGTTTGTGTGTGTGTGTGTATTCAGCTGACTTTGTGCATGTCTTCAGCAGTCTGTATGTGTGTCAGTGTGAGTATACACTTACCACTGAACAGGCTGACAAATCCCAAGACTTTAGTCGCCATGGCAACCTAGGATTTGTCGAACCCTGGGTTAGGCTATGGGCTTCTATCTCACGCGACAAGTTTTGATCTATCAGTGCAGTGGAAGTGCCTCTAGTGTGTCACTATGATTAGTATGATAGCCACTAGAGGTTGCAGGGTCAAAAGGACAATCAATGTACCTAGACCACTTAATTGGGACACTATAGTGTCCCTTTAAGGGATATTTATTCATGTCGCTGATTTGTTTTTGTTTGGGTTTATATTTTTGATTTACCAATCATAGATGTTGTGTTTATATCTTGTTGTTTTTTGTTTTTTTTAAGTAAAAAAAAGTTTCTTATTAATATGTATTTTGGTGTGCAGAACTACACTGTATTTACCCAATATTGCTTTGACTTGGATTTTTCCTTGAGGATTCATAAGTAAGAGAGGTGGTTTAAATTACGAGAGGCGGTCCATAGCTACATCAAAGGAAATAAATAAAATCTAGAATATACTATGTATAATTTTGACTAATTATACAGTATATATTTTTTTGATTCTACACACACAGTGGTCAAGAAAAAGTATGTGCATCCTTTACAATGACAGATGACCTCAAACCAGATTTTAGTCATTCAGAGTTACAGTATTCAAATCTGTTTTAACTAATAATACAAATTATATTGTTCTTGTACATATTGAACATATCATGAAAAAATTTCAAATAGGTTAGAAAAAGAATGTGAAACCTTAGGCCAGTGATGGCGAACCTTTTTGAGCCCGAGTGCCCAAACCGCAATACATGCCAACTTGTTTTCCCTCAAAGTGCCAACACTGCAATTAAACCTGAATACTGAGGTTTACGTTAAGAAAAACAACTCTTACAGTTGTCCGAACTAATTAACATGTTTTGTTTTAAAAGAGGAACACAACAACAGAGAGTTCAATGATACAAATTTTAAGTAATGATATAGATCAAATTAAGCTTAAATTTATTAGTATCTCCAACAAATACAATACATACATAAAATACGTACGCACAGACAGTGTGCCAAATACCCACACAGTGTGCCAAATACCCACACAGCCAGTCTGCCAAATACCTACGCACACAGTCCCCTGAAAAACACACACACACAGACTGCTGAATACGTACACACAACTGCTGAGTACACACAGTCTGCTGAACACAAACACACACATACCGCATTGAGTGGTGCAGTGTATGTACATGTGTGCGGAGTGCTGAGTGTGTGTGTGTGTGAGGGGTGCTGTGTGTGTGTGAGATAGTGCTTGTAGTGTGTGTATGTGTGTGTGCGTGAGCGGCTGCTGTGTGTGTGAGGGTGCTATGTGCGTGTGAGGGTGCTGTTAGTATGCTGTGTGTGTGGGGAGTAGGGGTGCTGTGTGTGTGTGGAGAGGTGGTAAAGATACAAAAAAAAAAAAAAAATCTTTATTCCCCCCTCCCTTCTTCTTACCTTTGGTGAAGGATGGGGGTGGGGCACACAGCCAGGTCACAAGTACACCTAAGCACATTGTGTTTTCGTGTTAGCTGAACACATTGAGTGATGAATATGAGAGGACATTTTATTACCACTTGCTGAAATTCAAGTAATTTCAAATACTCTCTCTTGCTACTGTAAGTGTGAGACTTCCAACACTTCACACTTTGCTCATGTGGGTGGCAATGTATATTCTAGCAACCAGATTTTTGGTAGTTTAGGTGCCTATTTAGGAGAGCTGTCTTGGTATCAGAATTTATTTCAAAGGACAGATTAGAATTAAAAAGTCCAAGCCCAGCTGGGAATAATCTGTAAAACACACCCGCCTCGCATGTTATTAAAATTTTATGTAAATTTTAATTTAAAAAAAAATTGTTTTTAAAGAAAATTCTAAACATTTCTGTGAATAATAAACTATATCTTTCTTAGCACAAAATGGGTTAAACTATAAAAGGCCCTTTCATGTCTGCAATGATATCATATGATCCCTTTTGAATGTGTGCGGCTTCATGTACTGACACAAGTACGTGTTATGTCTGAGAGGCTTACACATTATTATGTCTGGAAGGCTGTACAAACATAGTTACGAGGACGTAACATGTTTAATGTAAAAACGAGGCTTTCCTTGCTAGTCACTTCAAGGATAAATGTCAAATCCGGATAAAACATGTCAGGCTTGTCAAAAAAGAATGTTGCAAAATTTTGCTATGACAAATATTTTGCCTCACAACCATAATATCCAAGAGTGTATCTAGAATGTGTAAAATAAATTTAAAGTAATACAGTTTGTTTTTTTATGTGTGGAGAAGGAGTTCCCAAATAAACTATGCGTGGGCAACACATGTTTATAATATAGGAAAAGGTGTGCAATCATTAATAGGTCAACTTCCATGCACAAAAAATCTCCAGGTACAATAATTTACCTTGTCTAAAGCACATAGTAGGAGCAATCAAGATTTTTCTATGGGACTGTGGTGGGGGGTATTCACCAGGTAAAACCAAAAGAATTTTGCTTATGATTTAGCCTTTGTATCCAATAAGAACACAACACAATTAATCATGTAATTATGTCATTTACATGGTGCCATATCTGCCAGAGCCAAAATATCTTAGACCAACTCAGGGCAATACTGAGCTTGCTAAAAAAGTGTTTCATAAGAGAAACAATGAAATGAAACTGAACATTTTGAGCCACATTCACGTTTGAGATCACAAATCATTAAAGCTGCTTCAAAAGTAAAAGTAGATACACCAGTTTAAAGGCATGCTTACAAATTAAATCCATATCCATTTAGACACAATGAAAACAAATTCCAAATGTCCCAAGATTTCCAAGAAGCAGCCTGTGACTGTATATTTGAGCATGCATCATTGTAAAATGAAGCACGTGCAGACTCTCTCTCTCTCTCAGGAGTATAAAACTGCTTTATAGCTGGATTATTTTTTGTAAGTAACTGTGTTTATTTATATTTACCTATAACACATACAACACCCAGTTAATTCTTTAGTTGCATCTACCTGGCCGAGGAAAATGGCAATTCATTTTTATATTAACATTAAACTTAAAAAAAAAAACAACAAAAAAAAAACCACATTTGTTTAAATGGTCAGCCACACAATTGGCATGTGATCCATAAATAATCTGCAGTTTGGAACCAATTAATTTGAACAAAATTGGTGGGACGCCGCATTTCTCATTGCGAAGTGTAATTAGTTTTCAGATGAAATCAGCACTTAAAGGGACACCCCAGGCACCAATACTACCTAAATGCATTTGATAGGCTTTGGCCTCATTAAAGGACAACTATCTCCACATTTTTTTTGTATTATTATTATAAGAAATCTTGCAGCATATAATGAAGTATATGAAAAAAATACCTGAAAATCTGGCCCCTACTTTCATAGAACACTAGATCCCTCTGCCATTTTCATACACCTTCAGTTGCACTGAGGTAGAACCTGACCGTTCGGCACCTGCTTCACTCCCTGCACAGAGCAGTGACATCAGTCATCGCCCTTTGTGTTCTTCCTGGTCTGAATTCGCCTGCCTTGGCAATTCTCATATTTACTATATTGGTCAGAATTCTGTTGGTCTGAACTATTCTGTAACATTGGTCCAGATAAGGAAATCCCTGCTTTACTTAACTCATCCGAACCCATCTATAGCACCAGTAAGGCAAATTATCATACACTTGCTATTTGCAAATGAATGATAATTTAAATAACTACTGGTATTTGCCAGCCAACAGCGCTAGCAGCCAGCGGGTCAATAGTTAAAAACTTGCGGCAGTGCGAGGGTTAATTATGTGTCAGCAGGCAAGTGCTTGCTAGTAAAAAGCTAAATAAATAAATAAGATCCCTATATTGGGACAATGGAGGTATTTTACCTCCATATGCCCCATCTGCCATCTGGCAGGTGGGGGCATGTCTACTAAACATTAAAGCTACCGATTGGACAGCCATTCCTGCCCAGTCGATAGAAGAGACCCCATCCCATACAGATGAGGGCTGAGAAATAATGGAGGAGACATAGACCTACCGTGCCCCCAACCGTGATCATCTGATAGGGGATAACCATTTTAAGGGGGACCTAGTGTTCCCTCCTCTACCCAGCCACAGCCATGCCAGTGGGAATAGCCCCAAAAATATAATAAACAGGGTTCTAGTGTCCCCTGCCCTGCATCCACCCATGCAGTCAGGTGGGGGCCCTAATTAAAATGTGGGGTGGTGGAATTATACATTTTTATTTGGTCTTTTTTAAGGCTGAAAAAAAAATTGATTAGGTTTTAAATATTTTTGGTCCACTCCTCACTATTCTGTAATTTATTTTAGGGGGTGGATACGGAATTGGGGACGCTGGCCACCAAGGGTAAAGAGGAGGCACTTATTTGAAGGGAGTGGAAAATGGCATGTACACCCCTCCCACTTTATAATTAATTAATTAGGGCCCCACCCACTGGCAAGGATGGGGGTGAGAGGAGGTGCCTCTAGCTCTGAAAATGCAGTGTTTACATTAAAATATTATACATATTATAGACAACAGAACAAATACATTGAGCTGTAGCTGTTCTGATGAGTATAGTGTTCCTTTAAGGCCACCACCAGCCACAATGGGTGGGATCCGGCGCAGACTAAGCCCCGTCCCCTTTATTCGAAATATTAGGGTCACCACCCTATGGCATGGGTAGGTGAAGGGATAAGGAACACAAGACCCACCCACTAAAAATGTATAGTATCCCCCACCCAATGCCAATGGGTGTAGGCATGGGGGATAAGGAGGAAACAATGTCACATTATTTCTTAGGCACCATCTCTGCGGGATGGGGTATTTTCTAGTGACTGGGCAGCAATGGTTGGATGGCAGATGGGGGCATAGGAAGGTGAAATACCCTCCACTGCAGAAAAATAGGCATGTTATCAATCCCCATAGGATTAAAAAAAAAACCTTATTAATTAATATATTTTTTCTACGTGGCGGTTGGGAAGCCGCCACATAATTAACTCTTGTGATGTCGAGGGTTTTTATGTATTTGTTGCTGGCTGCTATCGCTGTCTGTGGGTAAATAGAATGAATGATAATTTGCAATTCCAATGCTGTAGATTGGTTCAGATGAGTTTGTAAGAACATTGATTTATTTTTATTTTTTTACTAGAAATAAGTTTATAGCAAGATTCACTTCTTTAAAATGTGCTCTCGGTGGAAAAACTAAAGATAACTTTAGTTAGATATTTTTTTGCACTGTGCAGTAACAACTACCATGAGACAGAATAGTTCTTTGGAGGTACCCTAATTTTGCTGACTTGTTGCCAAAAATGTAGAACACATGAGACTTGGCATCTATCACTTGCTTGACACATATAGGACACAGAAGCTCTAAAAGCTTATTTCCTTGTTGGCATAATTTGAGTCTAGACAAACTGATTTCTCACACTTGCCTAACAGCACTCTCTTCATTGAGGCAGTTTCATCCATATGGCTTTTTTTTCTAGTGACAAGAAAACCTATCCTTTACGTGACATTTCAATAGGTGAAAAGCAGGCTCTACAATTCCATGAAAACAATATAAACTTCTAAAAAGAACTATGCGGCACCAGACTGAACTCTTCACTTTGGAGGTCTATGCAATTTTCTGGGGCAAAACAGGAAAAAATAAATAAAAAACAAACAAAAACAAAAAAACATACAAAAGACTGCCGTTTTTTTTCCTTCTTTTCACATTTCGTTTGGAATCATCTCTACATATTTTAAAGAAAATTACATAAAGCCTCCATTTTACAACACAGAATAGAGCAGAATCAGTGAGTGAACTTTTACCAGTTAGCTTTACATGAATTGTATAAACTACATACATTATGATAAGGGGATACAACATGAGTACTATGTTATATTTAGAGTTATTCATTAAAAAAAAAAAAAAAAGAAGTGTTAAAGTGAATTTCAAATTTAATTTTGGCAGCTATGCTTTCAGTCTAGTTATAGCCTTAAAGGGACACTTTAGTCACCAGAGCAACTACAGCTTAATGTGGTTGTTCTGGGGTGTAGTCAGTCCCTGCAGGCCCTTTGCTTTAAACACTACATTTCTGCCTAGGGACACCTCCAGTGGCAGTCACGCAGACTGGAGACGTTCAGCATCCCCAGGCTCTGCATGGAGTCACTGAACTTAACTCATAGGAGATGCTGATTGGCACATACATGTTCAGTTATACCATATATTCAGTTAAGAGGAAATTAGTCTGACATACCTTTATATTACCTCCCATCTAATTTGATTGTTCATTTGTTTTAATGTTTTGATTGCTACTGAAAGGAGTAAAGTTGAGACTTAGAGGTCTACAGTGTAATGGTTAATCTTAATTTCCCTTGAACTAGGTTTTTCCTATGATGCACGATGCACTTATGTTGGACAAGTCAAGCACTATTGCTATTTGCAGCACCAAGTACAAAATAACAAACGTAACAGAGTAATACTATCATTCAAAGACTGACTGGTTTACTTTAAATTAACCCTCCACTCCCTACAAACTCCATATATTACTCATTGTATAGATACAAAATGTACTCAATGTAGAAAACTTAACTATGAATATTCCCATGCTGCCATGTGTTTGGCTCTGTGGGTGTTGCATTACTGTGCAATCACCTGTCCCACCTATGCTCTTCATTGATTTGCCCTGCTTAAGGAAATTTCTGGAGCACTTTAGGGTTAAACTATTCTTTAATTGTTATCCCCTTAAAGGTAGGATGATGCCCAAGACTTCCAGGCACTATAACAGCTTCACTGACATAAAAAAATAAAAATAAAAAAAATTATGGATCCCCAAGTTTACCTTTACTGAATATATTTGTATAACACACACTCACAGGGAATGCAACACTGGGTATAGACGTCAACTAGATACACCAGGCTGCCCTGATTTTGCGGGGAGAAACTGCAAAATTGAATAGGATCTCCTTTTCCCATTAATAAAGGGATATCAGCTATGGCTAGATAATTTTAAAACTAGCACAGATTTATTTAAAAAAAAAAAGGATTTTACTTTGATAACCCCAGCCTGTATCAAAATTCGTAAAGGCACAACAACTACTTTGCGCCATGATAAGGTGTTGGCCCTTGTGTATACGAACAAAAAAGATGTGTATACGTTGTCCACACTTCATGATGAGAGCACGGTGTCTGTCCGCAGAAGCAATGCACAGATCATGCACTGATAAATTAATCAAGCATATAGGGGTAGTACATTTGGGTCTGCCATCTACATTGAGGGAAAAAAGTATTTGATCCCCTGCTGATTTTGAATGTTTGTCCACTGACAAAGAAATGATCGGTCAATAAGTTTAATGGTAGGTGTATTTTAACAGTGAGACAGAATAAGAACAAGAAAAACGCATGTCAAAAAAGTTATACATTGATTTCCATGTCAATGAGTAAAATAAGTATTTGATCTAGGGATGCACCGAAATGAAAATTCTGGGCCGAAAATTCAGGATGCCCTTGGCCGAAAACTGAAAATGACTTTTTTCCTCAAGTGATTTAAAAAAATTTTTTTTCCTAAAATTTTATTAAAGGGACACTAAATTGCTGATGATCAATTAATCAAAGGCATTTGATTAGGAGCAACTGTCTGCTACTTAGCCTCTAATTTCTATGGAAGCAGAAAGAGTTTTCACACATGGCTTCTCCAATTTGGCTTTATTTTTGTTATAGGGACACTACAGGCTCCCAGACCACTTCTGCCCATTGGAGTGGTCTGGGTGCCAACTCCCACTATCCTTAGCCCTGCAGCTGTAATTATTGCAGTTTTCATAAACTGCAATAATTACAGCTGCAGGGTTAACTCCTCCTCTAGTGGAGGACAGCCACTAGAAGGCACTTCCTGGTTTCTAGCACAGGTTTTCTGTGCTAGAGCGTCACTGGACATCCTCGCACTATGTGAGGACCTTCAGCGTCGCTCAATTCCCCATAGGAAAGCATTGAAAGCATTTTCAATGCTTTCCTATGAGAGGTCTAATGTGCACGCCGCGCATGCGCGTTAGGTCTCCCCTGCCGGCTGCTGTTGGCGGGGGAGGAGCGTGAGCCGACCCGAAACCCCTGCCAAGGGATATCGGTGGGGGTCTCAGTAAGTCACTGAAGGGGTTTTCCTGGCACTGGAGTGTCCCTTAAACCCTGCAGATGCAAACATAGCAGTTTCAGAGAAACTGCTAGGCTTACATTGCAGGGTTAAGCCAGCCTCTAGTGGACTATAGTGTTCCTTTAATTAGAGAAAATTTATGACAAACTTACCGTAATTTTCTTTTCCTGGCTATTTCTCATGGCAGCATCACATATGGGTAGCTCGTCCCTTACTCACAGGACAGGAATTAGATTAATTAGACTGATAGGTATAAAGTGTCCCTCCTCCTCTGCTTATACCACAGTCCAATTATAAAGCTGAAAAAAATAAAAGAATGGACGGGAACCCTGATGCTCCCATGAGAAATAGCCAGGAAAAGAAAATTACGGTAAGTTTGTCATAAATTTTCTCTATGCCTGGCTAATCATGGCAGCATCACATATGGGTAATACCAAAGCTTACAGAAATGAAGGGTGGGAATAAATAAACCAAAAAAAAAAAAAAAGACTCTCATGCTGCAAAGAAATGTAATATCTATGGGATAAAGAAACTGTAGACAGAACACTCTTCCCCCAGGAGGTGGAAGGAGAGGCCACGTCCAGTTTATAGTGTTTTATGAACATCATCGGGGAAGACCAGGTGGCTGCCCTGCAAATATTATCGTATGGAACCTCTGTCCAATTAGCCCATGAAGTCGACAATGCTCTGGTAGAACGTGTTCTTATCGTCATTGGAGGAGACTGATCTTTAGAGATATACGCTTTCCTGATTATTAGCGAAATCCAACGTTTCAATGTAGATAAAGAGGCCGCCTCACCTCTCATGGCTCCTGAAGGTAGAACGAAGAGATGGTCAGTCTTTCTGTATGACTTAGAACGAAAAAAGGTTTTGGTCTCAGACACACCCTGTCCTAATAGATCTGTAGGCATGAAGACATGGTAGAAAAGGCCTTAATCTCCTAAATTCTTCTTGCGGAAGTAAAAGCCACCAAAAACAAAGTTTTGTAAGTAAGAGTGTAGTATTGAAATTTTCAAGGGGAACGAACAGTTCGTCAGGCAGTTGAGAACCAGAGGAAGGTCCCAAGAAGGGGTACCGGATCTGGAAGGAGGTATCCACCTGAACGCTGCCTTGAAGAATCTGGAGATCAAAGGATCCGAAACCCATGAGATGTTGCATAATGCCGCAAGAGCCGAGGATTGAACTCGAAGAGTGCTGAGGCTAAGGCCTTTGTCCAGACCTTCTTGAAGGAAATCCAAGATCTGATTATCGCGAGGATGCAAGAAGTTAACGTTCTTGGCCGAAGCCCATTCTTTAACTATATCCCAGATCCCATGGTAGCACGAGGAAGTAGAAGCCTTCCTAGACTGCAAAAGGGTATTGACTGAAGTCTTTCCTTTACAAAACCCATACCACCAACTTGAGGCATTCGGGATGAGGATGGGAGATTGGGCCCTGAGTCAGCAGATCCTTCATTATCGGAAGAGGCAAAGGCCGTTCCTGACTCATCATGGTTAAGAGAGGAAACCATGGCCTTCGAGGCCAGATTGGAATTCTGGCAATTACCTTTTTGCCTTCTGTCCAAACCTTCCGCAGGAATCTGGGTATCATGGGTAGAGGAGGGAACGCATACCACAGATCGAATGACCAAGGAAGAGAGAGAGAGCATCCTGGCCCATCGCTCGATTGTCTGGATGGAGAAAGAAGTAATTCTCCACCTGACAATTCTGGTGAGTCGCCATCAGGTCGATTCGGGGTATGCCCCACCGATGGGCAATCCATGAGCAGACTGCAGTGTGAAGTCTCCATTCTCCTGGAAGAATTTCTGTTCTGCTGAGGAAGTCTGCAGTAATGTTCTCTGAACCCGGAAGATTGCCTTCAGACCTTGGAGAGTGTTCATGGTCACCTTCAACAAGGTAGCTAGTTCCTTCAAGAGCAATCTGCTTCTTTTGCCTCCTTGGTTGTTCACATACGAGGCCACCACTCGGTTGTCCGTTATGATTAGGACCCAAGATTTTTCGATCATCAGAAGGAATACCAAGATGGCTTTGGACATGCTCTTAGTTCTCTAGATCTGAGTGTGGGCAACTCTTCTCAGGTCCACTTCCCTTGTTTCCATGTGGAATTGAAGTGGGCACCCAAAAATCAAAGGAAATGTAAAACCACATACCAGCAGACCTCAGAGGCAAACTGACAAGTAAATGTCAAAAAATATAAAACCACAAGGAGAAAAAGGAAGCCTACCATCTGATAACAGAGACCCACTCCAAGCATCCAACAGCAATGCACAGACCAAGAGATGAAAATCAGAGCCCACAGGATGAAATATTTCCGGGGAAAACCGGCAGCTCCATGCATGCACGGACCGCACGCTATGCATTCCAAACGCTCGCGCCATAACCGCACGACCCTCACATCACTACCGGTCCCGCGGGATTCGGCCGCAACGGCACTTCCGCCCGCTGGAACGCACTACTGCGTTTCAGCGATCAAAAATGGAATGAGCAGCTGCAGAGAGCCCCAGGAAGCCAGACAGGTAAAACAAGGAGGCAAAAGGAGAGTCCCTGCAATGGGTCCCCCCAACGGGAGGACCCCAAACAAGTATGGATCCCAAGAAAACTGCCACAAAGGGGGGGGGGGGATTTCAGGCCCCAATTTATAGGGGCAATGCCAAAGAAAAGGGGAATTTTTAAGGAGGCCCAACCACATAAATACCTTAATGTAGCTGTGTCTCCCTCAGAACACAAAACATAAATCCCACGCAGCAGTTCAGTACTGACTCTGAACCTGACCCAGTTAGTCCTCATGCAGGCTGTTTACTGGGTCCTTCAAATGAAGAGAGGCTGAACTTCATTTTGAATGAACCCACAACAAATGCAGGAAGGTGGCCAAAAAAGAAAAAAAGTGTTTAAAGTCCTGTAGAACGGGCTAAGGACAAGAAAAAAAAAAAACTGTGGTGTAAGGGGAGGTGGGACTCTTTATACCTATCAGTCTAATTAATTAATCTAATGAATTCCTGTCCTGTGATTGCTAAGGGAGGAGCTACCCATATGTGATGCTACCATGATTAGCCAGGAAATTAGACTTTTTAAGGAATTTAAATTAATCTAATATGAAACACTTACGTTCTCTTTTAGTGGTCACCCTCACTTAATGTTCCTCTCCCCTCCCTCTTTTTTAGTGTTCTTTTCCCCCCATCCCCCATCCCATAGTGTTCTTTTCCCCTCCCCCTGTCTCAAGTGCAGTATTCTTGACTTTTCATGTTATCATTACTATCTTGCATTGTGATATATATTAATCTGAATTGATAATGCAAGCATTTCTGTTAAACTAAGCACTAAAAATTTTAATTTCGGCAAATTTGAACCGTTTTCAAAGTTTTGGTGCATCTCTAATTTGATCCCCTATCAATCAGCAATATTTCTGGCTCCCAGGTGTCTTTTATACAGGTAACAAACTGAGATTAGGAGCATTAGGAAATGCTCCTAATCTCAGGTCATTATCTGTATAAAAGACACCTGTCCACAGAAGCAATCAATCAGATTCCAAGCTCTCCACCATAGTTAAGACCAAAGAGCTGCCCAAGGATGTCAGGGACAAGATTGTAGGCCTACACAAGGCTGGACTGGGATACAAGACCATCGCCAAGCAGCTTGGTGAGAAGGTGACAACAGTTGATGCAATTATACAGAAATGGAAGAAACACAAAAAAACTGTTAGTCTCCCTCGGTCTGGTGCTTCATGCAAGATCTCACCTTGCTTTCCTAAGCCCTGAACTACACGGGAGAATCTTGTTAATGATCTCAAGCAGCTAGGACCAAAGTCACCAAGAAAACCACGCCGTGAATGACTGAAATCCTGCAGCACCTGCAGGGTCCCCCTGCGCAAGAAAGCACATGTACAAGCCTGTTTGAAGTTTACCGATGAACACCTGGATGATTCAGAGGAGAACTGGGTGAAAGTGTTGTGGTCAGTTGAGACCAAAATAGAGTCCTTTGGCTTCAACCCAACTCGCTGTGTTTGGAGGAGGATGAATGCTGCTTATGACCCCAAGAATACCATCCCCATCGTCACACATGGATGTGGAAACGTTATGATTTGGGGATGTTTTTCTGCTAAGCTGCAAAGCATCAAAGAGACGATGGATGGGGCCATGTACTATCAAATCTTGGGTGAGAATCTCCTTCCCTCAGCCAGGGCATTGAAAATGGTTCGTGGATGGATATTCCAGCATGACAATGATCCAAAACACACTTCCAAGGCAACAAAGGAATGGCTCAAAAAGAAGCAAATTAAGGTCCTGGAGTGGCCTAGCCAGTCTCCAGACCCTAATCCCATAGAAAATCTGTGGAAGGAGCAGACGGTTTGAGTTGCCAAACATCAGCTTTGAAACCTTAATGACTAGGAGAGGATCTGCAAAGAGCGGTGGGACAAAATCCCTCCTGAGATGTGTGCAAACCTGGTGGCCAACTACAAGAAACGGCTGACCTCAGTACTTGGTGGCAAAACCCTTGTGGGCAATCACAGAGGTCAGCCGTTTCTTGTAGTTGGCCACCAGGCTTGCACACATCTCAGGAGGGATTTTGTCCCAGCGCTCTTTGCAGATCCTCCAATAAGTTGGTACAGGCTGACAGAGTAATTAGGACAAGCCAAGGTCAGAAATCTGGAACAACATAAGAGTCAAATACAGACTGTTCCGAATTAGCAGTTTAACTCTGTATGGTACACTTTAAAACATTCAAATGTGCATAGGGCAGTAGAGATGAGCGGTAAGGGCAATAATATGTACAGTCTGTCCAAACTTCTTTCTTGTAGCAGACTCTGAGTGAATTAAGTATTTATAAAGTTGAAAGGGGCATCTAATATTTTTGGCCCCATGACTTACTAAAATACAAAAAACAAACAAATGGAAAAGCCTGTACATAGGGGCACTATTTTATCCATGAGACTTTATTGTGCTACCACTTATCAGGTTTATCAAATGTCCTGTTAAAATTTAAATAACGTGTAAAAAACACATATAAAAGTATGACCACTAAATGGGACCTGCATTGGTGATAAAGTGGCTAGACCAAACTACTTAAAATACACTACTTGGAATACTATGGGTTGCCTACTACTGAAAATGGTATGCCATAATGCTGAACATATTACCACCTAGGCTGCCATACTATCTTAAAGGCAACCTAGGCCCAAAGAAATTAACTTTGTCATATCTCCAGGTATGAAGACTAATATAGTCATGCTCCATGGTTTGTCCTGTAACTTTTCAAAACCCCATAAAACCTGTACATGGGGGGAGGGTTACTGTTTTACTTGTGAGACATTGCTGAACTTAAAAATGTTTTAGAGCAATAAGACATATAATGACTTTGATATCATCAGGGAAAGTGCAGTTTTGTGTGCAAAAACACTAACTTTGGCCGTGGTTTGTGGTAAGAGACTACTAAAAAAGACTGGACACACCCATTTTGAAAATCCTGGGTTGCCTATGTTTGGGAATGGTATGCCATGGTTGGGGTAATCCTCATTCCTGGCTTCCATACTGTCTCATAGGCAAGATAGACCCAGCATACCAATCTGTAAAACTAAAATGAGAAAACCCTATATTTGTTTCCAATAGAAAATGCACATGGGGGGGTGAGTAGGCATCATTATATAAATGTGTGGGACATCACAGCATACACATGCATGTTATATTGCAGCAAAAGCTAACAGAACACAGTTAAAATGCAACTTTAAAATAACATTTCTACTTCATATATATATTTCATATTTAAATATTTGATGTGAAACAAAAGCTCTATATCTCCTTAACAAAATGATAAATAAGTATGGGTGCACTTAATACAAAAGTGGTAAATTATGGTTCAACAAATGTATATCTCAAATTGTAGGTTTTGTTTTAGCCAACTGCCTCTGTCCTTAAAGGACCACTATAGTGCCAGGAAAACACACTCGTTTTCCTGGCACTATAGTGCCCTGAGGGTGCCCCCACCCTCAGGGTCCCCCTCCTGCCCGGCTCTGGGGAGAGGAAAGGGGTAAAAACTTACCTTTTTCCAGCGCTGGGTGGGGAGCTCTCCTCCTCCGTTCCTCCCACTCGGCTGAATGCGCGCGTATTCAGCCGGTCGCATAGGAAAGCATTTACAATGCTTTCCTATGGACGCTTGCGTGTTCTCACTGTGATTTTCACAGTGAGAATCACGCAAGCGCCTCTAGCGGTTGTCAATGAGACACCCGCTAGAGGAATTGGAGGAAGGATTAACCCATTCTCTGAAACTGCTATGTTTATAAAAAAAAATGGGTTAATCCTAGCTGGACCTGGCACCCAGACCACTTCATTAAGCTGAAGTGGTCTGGGTGCCTAGAGTGGTCCTTTAAGGGGTTGGACTTCCTTTGTTGCACATTCTGTTTAATTTAGAATTTCTAATCTTCTGCTCTGTCAAGCAGAAACCTCCTGTGTGTGATTAAAGTTCGATTTACAAAGCAGGAAGAAAAAACTTCTTAAGCCAATTAAAGTCTGACTGACTCAGCTTGCATAAATGAAATGGTTTCATTTTCAGTCACACCTAGTCGAAATTTGGCCAGGGCTGTATAAACAGATACAAAAAAAGTGATTTAAATCCTAAATGGCAGATAATTTAGCAGTGAGACTACAGGGGCATGATATATACACCAAAACTGCTTAATTAAGCTAAAGTTGCTTTGGTGCCTATAGTATCACTTTAAAGTTATAACCTCAGCATACTACATTTTGCAAAGCTTTAGCTTTAAAAACATAATTCACTCCTTGCAAGTTTTGTTCTCTAATGTTCAAAAAAAATAACAAATCCAAAGCATATTGGCCATTTTAACTATTTGGGCTAATTAGTGAATCTATTTTGAGATATTTTTCTTTAGTTGCACTTGTGTAGTAATGATTGAATACAAAACATTTACTTCTATTTAATATTGTATTGTTTATAGAGTATCAAACAAAAGCCCTATTTACTCATACAAAAAAAGTATACAGGGAGTGCAGAATTATTAGTCAAGTTGTATTTTTGAGGATTAATTTTATTATTGAACAACAACCATGTTCTCAATGAACCCAAAAAACTCATTAATATCAAAGCTGAATATTTTTGGAAGTAGTTTTTAGTTTGTTTTTAGTTTTAGCTATGTTAGGGGGATATCTGTGTGTGCAGGTGACTATTACTGTGCATAATTATTAGGCAACTTAACAAAAAACAAATATATACCCATTTCAATTATTTATTATTACCAGTGAAACCAATATAACATCTCAACATTCACAAATATACATTTCTGACATTCAAAAACAAAACAAAAACAAATCAGTGACCAATATAGCCACCTTTCTTTGCAAGGACACTCAAAAGCCTGCCATCCATGGATTCTGTCAGTGTTTTGATCTGTTCACCATCAACATTGCGTGCAGCAGCAACCACAGCCTCCCAGACACTGTTCAGAGAGGTGTACTGTTTTCCCTCCTTGTAAATCTCACATTTGATGATGGACCACAGGTTCTCAATGGGGTTCAGATCAGGTGAACAAGGAGGCCATGTCATTAGATTTTCTTCTTTTATACCCTTTCTTGCCAGCCACGCTGTGGAGTACTTGGACGCGTGTGATGGAGCATTGTCCTGCATGAAAATCATGTTTTTCTTGAAGGATGCAGACTTCTTCCTGTACCACTGCTTGAAGAAGGTGTCTTCCAGGAACTGGCAGTAGGACTGGGAGTTGAGCTTGACTCCATCCTCAACCCGAAAAGGCCCCACAAGCTCATCTTTGATGATACCAGCCCAAACCAGTACTCCACCTCCACCTTGCTGGCGTCTGAGTCGGACTGGAGCTCTCTGCCCTTTACCAATCCAGCCACGGGCCCATCCATCTGGCCCATCAAGACTCACTCTCATTTCATCAGTCCATAAAACCTTAGAAAAATCAGTCTTGAGATATTTCTTGGCCCAGTCTTGACGTTTCAGCTTGTGTGTCTTGTTCAGTGGTGGTCGTCTTTCAGCCTTTCTTACCTTGGCCATGTCTCTGAGTATTGCACACCTTGTGCTTTTGGGCACTCCAGTGATGTTGCAGCTCTGAAATATGGCCAAACTGGTGGCAAGTGGCATCGTGGCAGCTGCACGCTTGACTTTTCTCAGTTCATGGGCAGTTATTTTGCGCCTTGGTTTTTCCACACGCTTCTTGCGACCCTGTTGACTATTTTGAATGAAACGCTTGATTGTTCGATGATCACGCTTCAGAAGCTTTGCAATTTTAAGAGTGCTGCATCCCTCTGCAAGATATCTCACTATTTTTGACTTTTCTGAGCCTGTCAAGTCCTTCTTTTGACCCATTTTGCCAAAGGAAAGGAAGTTGCCTAATAATTATGCACACCTGATATAGGGTGTTGATGTCATTAGACCACACCCCTTCTCATTACAGAGATGCACATCATCTAATATGCTTAATTGGTAGTAGGCTTTCGAGCTTATACAGCTTGGAGTAAGACAACATGCATAAAGAGGATGATGTGGTCAAAATACTCATTTGCCTAATAATTCTGCACTCCCTGTACATAACAGGGGTGAAGGTTTTTCCATCTACATGTCCTATATAATTTACCCTACCTTACAACCATTTCCCATACGTTCACATTCACACAGTTGATGGAACTGCAGATGGGAAGCGGTGTTGCGGCATGGAGACATAAAGAAACTTTAAAAAGTTGCCTGTCCTGCCCTTGACTTTACATCACACTTTGGTTAGCCACAGGTGGACGAAAAAAAAAAAAAAGTGCAGACAGTAGATAAGACATATCTCTGCACTATTTCCTCCACTGCTCTCAGTTTTAATCAGCTACCATAGAAGTAGAACCACCGCTCATCCACGTCAGGACTAAAACCACCAAAAATCTGCCTGATACAAGCTTCCAGACCTCCAAATTCATGATTCACGTATGGGGGAACTTAAAGGGACACTATAGTCACCAGGACAACTACAGCTTATTGGATTTGTTCTGGTGTGTAAAATCATTACCTTCAGGCTTTTTGCTGTAAACACTGTCTTTTCAGAGAAAAAGTAGTGTTTACATTACAGCCTAGTGATAACTTTACTGGCCACTCCTCAGATGGCTGTTAGAGATCCTTCCTGGGTCCTGGTTGCCTAAAATGCATCCAAACATTTAGTGTCTCCTCCCTCTGCATGCAGACATTGAACTTTCCTCATGGAGATTCATTGATTCAATTAAAAAACTATATGGTGCTGGCTCTGCCCCTGATCTGCCTCTTTGTCAGTCTCTGCAAATCCTATGGAGAAGCATTGTGATTGGATCAGGCTACCACGTCTGATGATGTCAGCAGACAGTTTTTCTGAGGCAAACAGCATGCAGATCTACAGCTTCAGGCTTGAATGCAGTAAGATTTTGCTATATTTATGGAGGCATAAGGGGCCCAGATGGTGGTTTTAACACTATAGGGTCAGGAATACGTTTGTGTTCCTGACCCTATAGTGATCCTTTAAGCAAAAAGGGTAAAGTTGTGGTGGCATGAATATAAGGCATTGCAAAAGAGCAATAGTCCTTAAAAGAGATACGGACAACCACAATCCAAATATGGGACAATCTCCATAAAAGATATTAGAATATTACGAAATTCTCTCCATGGGCCCCGATAACAACGCTCCACTCCATATCCCCATGGTTATCTTTACATAAATGGAAAGACAAGGGCATCACACACATCACCGATATCTATCAAAATGGAACCGTGTTGCCCTTCCCTGACATTCAACTCAAATATGCCTTACCATCTAACTACATATTCCCATACCTCCAACTCAAAAGCATAATTAAAGATAGGGTCCACACCCAGACCCAACATACTCCCGCCCCTAACCCAGACCTTATAGCTATATACAATAGGTGCCGGAACACACCAATCAAAGCCAAAGCTCTATCCCTTGGATATGCCGCCTTAGGACAACACCCCCTGCTAACGAATTTCGCTTTTACGATACAATGGCATAAAGAAGGACTCCCACAGCTAAATAACGAGCAGTGGCTACAGTCACTTGGGGCACTCAAAGGAGTGACTTCTTGTTACTCACACATAGAGGCACATAAGAAACTTGTATATCGGTGGTACCTCACACCCCACAAACTACATAAAATCTACCCAGCAACACACAACACGTGCTGGCGATGCTTTCAAGAGGTAGGGACGATGAGGCATGTCTGGTGGGATTGCCCAAACATTATTCCGCTGTGGACTGAAGTCCAAAGACTGGGCAATTCTTTAGGACTTATGAAGGGAACTCTAACTCCCACCATGAGTCTGTTGTTCCTGATGCCTGCTCAAATTCCTGCACAGGACAAACAACTACTGATTATGATGGCACTTGCTGCGCGCAACCTTATTGCATGCCACTGGAAACAACAGACATGCCCGACGCTACAGCAACTACTCCACAAGACACAACAGTATCTGAGACATGAAATGATGATTACTACGACACCCAGACGCAGAGATGTCACACACAATAATTGGCAAAAATTGAGTAAATACATAACTGATAGTACGCACACAGGGTGAATTGCCAGGCACACATAGGCAGCCTTACAAAAGAGGACGGCCTCAAACACGACATGACATAAGAGGCACGACTGACTAAGACTGGCTGGATGCACAGGTGTATGTATTAACGAAAGCACAAAACGTAATGTTTATAACAAACTGTATGTATCTGTATGTATCTGAATATTAGTAACTATTACACTGTACCTATCTACTATATGCTTGTGGATACACCCTCCCCCCCCTTTTTCCTTTCTGTACCCCCCACATGGTTGTTTGGAAAACTCAATAAAATACGAATATGAAAAAAAAAAAAAAAAAGAGATACGGACAATTTCTATTTTGTAAAATGAGAAAAAGAAGACACACTCTTCAAGCTAAAGTGTGTTAGTGGTCTGGAGTGTCCCAGTCCCAGTGTATTTAAGAGCTTAAATAATGATGTGTATACTCTACCAGTTGTATAGACAATGGCTTTGACTGTATATCCATACAACAATACCAATCCTATGCTGAACACTGAACATTATATATATATATATATATATATATATATATATATATATATTTTTTTTAAATCTTATGTATTTTAGAATAGTTTTCTTGAGCTCTTCAGATCTCCAAAACACTTCTATAAAACATCTATCTATATCTCACCTGTTCTCTCTACTCTTTTACATTTTGTACCTTGGAGAGAAAGGCGACATGTGAGAAAAATATTTATCATCATAAGAAATTACATACAGCTCATAAAATAGATGTTAAAAAGGGCTTTACTACAACAGGAGCAAATGGTTTTATGGTGGAAGTTGGAAAACAGATGAAAATTGTATTATACAGTAAGGCTAGTAAATATCCATTGTAGCTTCCAGTAGAACTAACCAGGACTAATGCAGTAGGTATTCAAGAATGATTGGAATGTGTACAAAAAAGCTGTCCTAAAAAAGTATGATTCAGAAAATTTGGTGGGCTCTTATCTGCTGACATAACGTACGGTTCAGTGCCAGTACCTGTAATAGAATACTTTATAAACCACTGAATAAATTCTTCCCACTTTAAAAAACAAAAAAACAATAACAGTGGAGTGTGGAGAAAAAAAATCCTTTGCTAATAGAACGTTAAACAAGAGAAAAATATCTTTATTACAAACTAACATTCCCACTTCCTCAATTATACTTGCAATTAATAGCACATAAATATGTTGTGTATAGGTTACTATCCATTTCCTCTACACAGGCCTAAACAGGAAGTTTAAAAGGGGACAAAAAGACATTATGAGAAATGTTATAATGGCTTGGTTTCTATTAAAAACATTAAAAAACAAACAAAAATAGACCATGCAATTAATATAGATAACATTATAAATTGGCAAACAAATTTCATAAAATGGTATTTAACTAACAGCTTTTTCTATGACAAGTTGCATGACCAAAATCACAAAAGCCAACAGTCATTCTATTGCACAGTGCTGTGGAATTTGTCAGAGTTTGATAAATAATAATAATGTAGATAAATATGCCTTTTGATGCAACATATCAACTTAATATGTAATTTTACGCAAAAATGTGGTAAAAAGCAAGTGATTTCATAGTAACACTAGAATATCTTGAAAGCAGCATATAAATAAGTATGTTCGTTTACTTTATGAAAAGAAAAAAATCTAAATGTCAAATTCTTGGCCATCAATTTACTTAATTCATAAATATTACTGTGGGCAGTCTCTGTTGCCTAGTTTGGCAATTCTGAAAATATATATTAAATACTGCAACACGGTATGTTTAAAGGTTCATTCTAGGTATTGTTACCCAGGGATGAAAAAATCATATTGTTGGTGCCTGTGACATGCTGTAGTTCTGGGCACTGCACAGGTATTTTTGAGGGGGCTTTTAGCCCTGCTACAACTGGGTTCAGAACACCATAATTGCTCCGTTGCAGACCAGAGCTCACTGATGAGTCAGAGTGCCCTTCTCGGGTTTTTCAGCATGCACTGAATCACTGAGTGCTTTTACAGCAAGGGAGTGAGTATTGTGCTCTTCACCTGCAAGAGATTAAGAATACATGCTCCTCCACTAGACACCAGGACTTTTAACTCCCAAAGGACTATAGATATCCTCCCTGCAGAAAACAGTGCAAGAGGTGAAGGGAATGTAAAAGAGCACACACATTATGCACAGCCTGTAAACATCACACAAACCACACACAGCCAGCAAGTATTACACTACAGACAGACAGCAATCACACACAGCTTGCAAACACGGCACACGCATATTATACACAGCCAGCAAACACTGCACACTACAGACAGCAATCATTGCACAAACATTACAAACAGCCAGACCCCACACTGGGGGAGCTCCGCCCGGCGGTGGCGGCGACGGTAATTAACAAAAACCGGAGGGCGTACAATTACGCCCGGCGGCGTTTAGAGCCGCCTAAAATAGGGCGTAATTGTACATCCTCCGGTCTAAAGGGGTTAAAATATATATATAGTGATATACGTATATATTTATATATGTATATATATATATATATATATATAAATAATACACAAGATCCAGCGCACTCACCTATCCACTAAACAGCAACTTCAATGGGGGTTTAGTTACATTATATGATCATACATTGCATAAGCCTGCCACAACGTCAATGTACCCCATCTTTGGCAGGTCCTACACTAACAGCCTAATGTCTGCTCTTATGAGATTAACCTACTTGGGGAAAAAAATTCCATCTGGGGCTCTCTGCAGTACAAGGCTAAATAGGGCCCTGTGTGAGGACTTCCAGCGTCGCTCAATTCCCCATAGGAAAGCATTGAAAAGCATTTTCAATGCTTTCCTATGGAGACCTCTAATGCGCATGCGCGGCACTGCCAGGTCCTCCCGGCCGGCGGAATCAGTCTCGTCCACCGGCCGACGTAATGAAGAGGAGGAGCGGCGGCGGAAGAAGCAGCGAAGTAGGACACGTCGCTGCCTTTGGTAAGTCACTGAAGGGGTTTTCACCCCTTCAGCAACCAGGGATTCGGAGGTGGGAGGGAGAGGGGACCTGCAGTGCCAGGAAAACTGATTGTTTTCCTGGCACTGGAGAGTCCCTTTAAATAAATAATAATATGGTGTAATATGTAATGTGGTGTTCATCTGAGGTTTTATTTACCATTGAAATGCAATGTATGTCCTGCAGACCTATATAAAAATGTTTGAAAACCAATAATAAAAACACTAGATAATAACTATGAATTGTGTACTCAACAGTTAAAGCTTCTTGGGAAACTTTGCAGTTCAATCGTCAAAGATGTAGAAGGGCTGAGCATTGAATATAAAAAGTACTATAAGTAAATGGTTTTGTTTAGGAGTTAATAGTTAAGAAAAACATTTTTCAACGAATAATCTTAACTTGCAGCACTTAAAAAAGAGGTTTCCAGAAATGGTGCTTCTACATGACGTATGCTGCACTATCCACTGAGCAATTGGGTTATAGCCTCTAGCCTGTTCTGCTGATGTTCTGCAGAACTAGTAGTCCTCATCTGACTGATGCAGATTAATTCCAGACACTGACTGGGTCAATACACTATGTTGAAGATATGTATTTGCTCATACAGACCTTACCAAAACACGTGTCTGCTGTAGTCCTCACATCTGGATTAACTTATGTATGGAGCAGAAAAACCTTAAAAACATAAGCTCACGCATGCTAATAAACACAAAACAGGAAATAAATGATCTTATTTCTCAAGCATTACACACATCTTTCCGCAAGAAACACAATGAAACTGTTAGAGGGATGACAAAGGGGAGAAGGCTCCTTGCTAAGTGATTAAATGGCTGAGTGTAGAAGTGCTTAATATAAATATTGATCTCAATTACTATAGTAGTGCTTTATATAAGTTAGACATATGGGAGTTGAATGTGTAAGGATTTATTATTAAAGGAAAAAAATACAATAGACAAGCCATTTAATTCTTTATCAAGTGTGAAACAAAAAGCAACAGCAAATACAATAAGGCAGAGTAAATAAATTTAATAATTATATTAATTGGTTAATACTCTGTATATCCACTTAATACTAGTCGCATCTCCAGGATTCAAATCTAAGGGGGATACATGGGGGCCAGTATAAAATGTGTGTGATTATCTATCTTGGCCTTGAGTTGTAATTTCACTACAAATGGCATCCAATATCCAGCACCCAGAGACTGTACACCAAAGGAGGTTAGGGCCTGATGAGTGTCGAGGCCACAGTCCTGGATAAAACACACAGCATCCATAAGTACATGACAAAGATGGCTCCCAAAGATGAATTCCTAAACAAATGCCTGAGACTTCAACAGACAGAGGATGCAGAAAAGGAGGACGTTCCATGGCAAGACAAACCTCTCCATGGGGTGTAACACCAGCAGATAGTGGATGTGGCTCATATGACAAAATCCTACCAGTGGTTGGAAAAGGCAGGACTGAAAGACACCACTGAGACATTAAACCTAGCAGCACAGGAACAGGCATTCAGCACCCAATCAACAGAAGCAGGAGTCTACCACAACAGGCAAGACCCAAGGTGCAGACAACACAAAAACTCCATTAGGATTCGAAACGTTGCAGTGTTTCACATTTATTTTTTTTTATAAAACATTTTACCAGGATGGATACATTGAGATTTCTCTTGTTTTCAAGTATGTCCTGGTAATAAATATATTCAACCATAACAGGTGCATTCTGTGCTGAGGTATATTGGTATAGATCTCTTAAAAGATTTTAGATTGAATGAAGATTTGACTGTGTCCCTGAGGTTATTCCATAATTGCAGTGCTCTGTAAGAAAAGGAGGATCGAGCCACTTTATTTTTCTATTGCGGTATGCTAAATATTGTGCTAGTACTGGATCGGAGGTTATAGGAGGTGGGAACAGCTGGGGAGACCATTCTACTCAGGTAGGGTAGGAGCTTCCCAGCTCTTATGCACAAGGCCGGAAAGATGAGTGCGTAGGGATTCCAGCGGTAGCCAGTTTAGCTCTTTTAACATGTCACAATGGTGGGTAAAGTAATTACATTCTAGTACAAAGCGGCAGAATGAATTATAGAACATATTAAGTTTATTACGGTGGGTTTGCAGTGCAGGTAAATACACTGCATACCCATAACCAATGACTGGCATTAGCATTTGTTGCACTGTTTCCTTATTGTAGGGCTTAGGCAGGATTTGTTTCTGTACAGGGCACCTAGTTTTGAGTAAAGTTTTGAAGAGTTTTTTTCAATGTAAAGGCCAAAGGATAGATTGGGGTCTAGCAACATACGGAGATATTTGAAAAAGCAGACTGCTGTCAGTGTGCTTTTGCAATTTGTTCTGATACACAGTTGTTGATTTTGTAGTTTACGTAATTTAGGTACAGTTCCAAAGATCATTGTAATAGTTTTGTCAGTGTTTAGGAAGAGTTTGTTATCTGCTATCCACTTTTCTACCTCTGTGAATTGGTTTTGGAGCACAGCCTCAAGCTGCGGTAGATTGGGTTTACTAGCGTATATTACAATGTCGTCTGCATACATGTATACTTTTGAAGGTTTGGATAAGTTAGGCAGATCATTTATAAATAATGTGAATAGCAGGAGGCAGAGTATGGATACCGTCGGGGAACACCACACGTGACTAGAAGAGGGAGGGAGGTGCTATCAGAAATGGACACATATTGCAATCGGTCTGAAACATATGATCACCGCGGCTCTCGCGAGACTTACAGTGGGAGCTGACAGAGGAGCTGCACGGAGAAGAAGGGAGCTGACAGGAGCCACAGGAAAGGTAAGTAACTGCTCACTGTCAGCCCCCCCTCCTACACAGCCCATACACTGGACCACCAGGGAGTGAGAGCCCCCCTCCCTGGCCAGCTAACAAGCAGGGAGGGGGGGGACAAAAATTAAATTAAAAATAAATACAAAAAAAAAAAATACAATAAAAACTATTAAAATAAAAAACTTAAATATTCAAATAAAAAATTAATAATAAAAATGCCCTCCTTCCACCCAGTTCACACACACACAAACACACACACTCATTCAATCTGCATTCTACACACACACTCATACAAACACACACTGCATTATATACACACATTAAATGGGTTAATCCAGCCGCTAGAGGCGTTTGCGTGATTCTCACTGTGAAAATCACAGTGAGAACACGCAAGCGTCCATAGGAAAGCATTGTAAATGCTTTCCTATGAGACCGGCTGAAAGCGCGCGCAGCTCTTGCCGCGCGTGTGCATTCAGCCGAATGGGAGGAGGATCGGAGGAGGAGAGCTCCCCGCCCAGCGCTGGAAAAAGGTAAGCTTTAACACCTTTCTTCTCCCCAGAGCCGGGCGGGAGGGGGTCCCTGAGGGTGGGGGCACCCTCAGGGCACTATAGTGCCAGGAAAATTAGTATGTTTTCCTGGCACTATAGTGGTCCTTTAATGCGAGTTGGGGAGGAAATTAATTGTGTTAGCTGCAGCGTACATGATTTATATTTTTAGGATTCAGCCAATCAATATTAAAATCTCCAAAAACCAATAGTTCACTTTTTTGGTTTTGAGCTACAGTTTCATTTAGTAGTTGTCTATGTCAGAAAGGGAGTGCACCGGAGAGCTAGGTGGGCGGTAGATTCCAGCAACAATGATAGTTTTACTGAAAGGGATCTTAATTGTGCCAGAAAGGAAATCAAAGGCAGAAGTGGAATTTTAGTTGTTTTAAAGGAGTAAATTTTACGGACTTGTCAACATAAATAACAGTGCCTCCTCCTCTCTTTGCTCTATAATTTCTAAAACATGAATACCCTTGTATTGCAATGGCGGCGTTTGGTAGTTTAGTTGTTAACCATGATTCTGAAGGCACAATGATTTTTGTTTTGTAATGGGAATACCAGGCTTGTAGTGCATCCAGTTTAGGGAGAAGGCTACGGATGTTGCAGTGTACAAAAGAGAGGCTTTTTTTTAGTGGGGAGATTAGGACTAGAATTAGTTGGGGGACCAGGGTTAGACTCCACATCATTTGTGAGGGCAAATAACATAAGGAATAGGAATTGGACATCATTTTTGTTTGGCCATATAGTGGATGGGATACTTTGTAATTTTGTGAGTTGGGGGTAGGCAGGCTATTTTTTAGAACTCTCCACCAGCTAAGTTACAGCAACAGAGCAGGCCATGGTGAATGATAATTTGTTTTCCAGTTTGAGGTGTGTGCTTATGGTGGTAGTGATGTGAACAAAATTAAAGTGAGAAAAGGGTTATTAAGAATAACAGTATGGTCATATTTGGATTCATGTTAGTGGTATGAAGTATGTAGATGAAAAACAAAAACACAAATAGTAAAAAAGAAATAAAAGTATATAATATTGGTGTGTGATATATAGCGATTAGTAGGGAGAGGGTGTATGTATTCTATAGGGTTAGGAGATTATTAAATATACATTTTCTAATAAAGGTGCCTGAAGACATTGGAGTGCCTGTCCAGCCAACCTGACATTGTGGTGCTTGACAAGGAATGGAAGACTGCAGTTGTGGTAGATTTGTCAATACCCAGTGACTATAACATTGGGAAGATAGACAAATGCCAATGACTGAAAGAAAAGCTAGAAAGAATGTGAAAAGTGAAGGCAGTAGTAGTCCCAGTTACCATAGGAGCACTCGGGGTTGTGACTCCCAAGTTGGGGGAGTGGCTTTAACAGATTCTAAAACAGTACAGTTCTAGGAAAAGCCAAGATACCAGCAGAACCCTCAGACACCAAGGCCTCTAATAGTGTATCTCGACCCCACCCATGCCAAGTGGCAGTCAGCGCCTTAAACAAAGGTTGTGCCGGCTCTGCTCAATTTTCAATTGGGGGGGCACTGTATGAAGAAGGGGCTCATAGCAGCGCCCCTGCATCATGCAAAAATACTAGTCCTTTACAATACAAATCAGTAGAGTTCTCTACTATGTCACTCACCTCTAAGCAGGTAACATATGTTACCATGCACTGTCAGCATTGCCAATTCATGCATTTTCTCCATGGTTGTCATTAATAAATAAAAATAAAAAAATACAACTGATTTTGGTAATGGCATATTTAGACAAGAGATACTTATTGGGGAAGTCTACTGTAAGGGAGCTAATCTGAATGTGGTCCCCTGCTGCCAACTTAATTTGTGATACATGTATTGCAAAAGCAAAATTTCGACTTTAGATATATCGATTCCATGCATATTTGGATGACATTCTATGGCTGAGAGTGCAGCTTGCATCCTAAAATGAGTTACAGTCAAACAAGGTTGTAATTGATATCACTAATGTAGAAGTAGGGACTTCCTTATTAGAATTATTACAGAAACAGGAGTGTGGAGAACTACGGCATCGTTGCAAGGGAAAAGGGAATGGGCAGGTATGAAAGGGCAGTGAACAAGCTCTATTCTTCCTGCGCAACTGCCACACACAATCAACACTGTGCCAGCAGCCGGAATAGAACGACATATTCTGGCATTACTAGAGGGCGTGTGAGGGAATTGTGCAGGAAAAGCACAGCAAACCTATTGCCAACCCTGGCCACCAGGTAGAAGATCCATGGCAACCATCCCCATAGCAATGCATGGAGACTGCCTGTGCATCTGTGATTGTGTGTAAGCATATGATTGTGTGTTTAGTATATAGCTCCCTAATTTGGTATCCTTAAATATGGCAATCCCACAAAAGGATAAAAAAAAAAGGAGTTATCTACTAAACAATTGAAAGATTAAAATGAAGAAAAGGGCTTTTGTTAATTTTGATGTTTCAGCTGTGTGATAAATAATTTAATAAAATCAGTACAATAAGCAATAAGCCAATAAGGGAGTTATCTGCTAAAGAGTTGAAAGCTCAAAATGAAGCGGTGTCATTAGCCAGCTCATAACAAGAAATTCAGGTGACTAATGTTAAAATCTTTACAATCTTAAAATCAAAAAGATATGAAAATAAAAAAAAATAAAAGTCTATCCAAAATGCTCAATCCAACGCGTTTCGTAAAAGAGGACTTCTTCAGGGATAAGAGTGTAATTCAGGATCGCTTCTTTATATATCCTTCAGTACAGGTTTTCTTCAGTAATCAAATTTTTCCACGATGTAGCGTCCTTCCAGGTTCTGACGTCATGAGTTCTTCATTGGACAAGTCTATGAAATGCACAGCAGCACTTACGTCTAACGCACATATTATAATTCTAATCCCAAGCTTTACATCAAAGTGCCAATGAATAACAGAGCACTCACATCTATGACAAAAAAAAAAAAAAGTGTATTATATATATATATATATATATATATACACACACATACATTTATACACACACACACACACACAAGAACAGATACAGAGACAAAAAATTATATATATATATATATACACATACATATACACACACACACACACACACACACACATACATACATATGCGGGTCCACCAGAGACCTAAGGCACAAAAAAATAAAATAAAAAAAATAAAAAATTATTTATTTATATATATATATATATATATATATATATATATATATATAGTCAGAAAAGAAATAGTAATAAATAAAAAATAACTAATAAAAAATAATAAACAAATAATAAAATCTAAATAAATATAAAAATTAAATATAAATATAAAAATTAAATATAAATATAAAAATTAAATATAAATATAAAAATTAAATATAAATATAAAAATTAAATATAAATATAAAAATTAAATATAAAAATATATATATATATATATATATATATATATGTGGAGACATTAAGAAAGTCTTAGGCAAAAAAGAAATGGAATGGGCATATAACTTGAAAACTCTCGCTCCCACTGGCCTTAACATTGATTTTGATCTTTTTAATTTTTTATAATATTGCTGCATTTTTAAGGATACCCCTTTAAGTATTGTTTTTTACTCTCCTCTTCCCCTTTTTAACTTATATTGAAAAGTGCCTATATAAATATATATGTATATATACTATCCTACTGATTATAATTGTATTTTATATTCTATTATATTACAAACATTTTTATATATATATATATATATATATATATATATATATATATATATATATATATATATATATATATATATATATATATATATATATATATATTTATACAAGCACATATGTGCAAATAATCATGGTTAATTTTATCTATGTTTTTGCACAAAATATATGAAAAACTTGCTGTTTATTATTTTAATAATTTAATTAATTCATTATATATATTTTATTTTGCCTGTGTAGATATCAGTCATGTTGTCCTTCACTGGATTCGAACTCATGTGGGGCTGGCTGTCTGCCTGCAGTCAGTGAGCTTATGTGCTGAGCCACAGCCCCTTACACTATATGCCACAGAGCATCATGTGACGCGGAAGTACTTCTTATCCCGCGTCACGTGACCGTTTTCTTTCTTTTTTTATTTTATTTAAAAAGTAAATTATAACCTTCGTTTTAATATTTAAACAATGCAAATATGCTTTTTATCATTGTATTATCAATTTTTATGTGTGTAATAACTGTTTTATAATAACTTCCCTGTATTATCTATATGCTAATTTTATGACGTCATTTTGGCGGGAATTTTAAATTTAAAGTACTATTACATACTATATAAGCTTATGTATGTCAGGTATGCCCCCCCTCTTTCCCACTATCTACTTGAAGAAGCCTGTTAAGGCGAAACGCGTTTAGATATTAATAGATTTTGTTCTTAATTTTATAATAAAGATATTTTATTGGCATAAAATACTTTATTGCCATTTGCTTTCTCCTTTAACTGATTTTACATACATTTTCTTTTATTGCTTTTACGTATACGGCTCACCCTGCAGGAAGTGCAAAGAATCCATAGGTGGGGATTATACCACCCGAGCGCCTTCACTGAGCAGTTTTGAGTCTGCTCTACTTTACGTGAGTAGTATACTTTACTTTCTTTTAATTTTATTACATACAGTGAGCACTATATATTTTATTTCATTTTTTCCTCTGGGTCGTATTACGTCAAATTGAACACTGAACCCACGTCAGATATTCAACTATCAAAATGTACTCCATATATCCTTGAAGTGGGGATTATTCCACTTTACGCGAGCAATATCAGAGCTGATCCTAGCTCTGAAAAGTGTGAGTAAGACTGATTTTATACTTTTACATTTATTTTATACACCGATTTACTGTGCCATTGGAGTCCTGTTTTTATTTTTCTCTCCACATATGCTGAATTCTCAACATTTGAAGATACGATCCCACCTACACCCTAAAGAATATTCCTTTACAAGTGGGACCTACCCTCACGGCCTGTGATAAGCCTATTTTATTGGACTATTGTTTTATTACTTATTTTATTCTGTATTTTATCTGACTAATTTAGTCTTTTATTTTATCAAGTTTTAGGCGCATCCTTATATTTCTGTTTGTTCTTGCTATCTGTAACCATTAGGGGATTATTGGGGACTCCCCTTTGAGGAGTGCTGCCTTTCTTATAATTTTATTGTGGCAATTTAGTGCTTTTTTTTTTCTCTTTTTCCAATTGTCTAGTGAGTCCGCTTATATGTACAAATAAAAATTCCGCATAACCTAACAACTTCTTATATCCAAAAAAAAAAATTATACACACACACACGGTATAAAAATCTCTCAAAATTCTACAAAAAAAGACATACCCAGTCAAAGTCTTACTTTTCGAGTCATTTATTTAACGCACCATCTTGGGGCAAAGGGTGACACTATGCCACCCCCCTACCCACACTTTTTTATTTAGCAATGCTAAACGTCAGTCTGAAATCTTTGAAGGAGCTTTTTTAGAACACCCTTCAAGAGGCTGTCTGAATGAGACCACTGGAGGTGGCCTTAGGCAGCAATGCAAACATTGAATTTCTCAGACTGCAATGTAAAAATCAGTTTGCCTGCAGAACTACTACATTAAGCTGCAGTGGTTCTGGTGCCTAGATATGCATTCAAAATGTGAATCTCTATTGTAAGATCCTCAGAAGGGCCCTAATGGTCACATTTCTAAAATTAATGTAAACAAGAAAAAAAAAAAAAAAAAAAGTAACACGTTGAAAGAATGAAGTAGTCTGGGTGCAATGTCCCTGCCATTTTAGCTCTGCAGGAACAGCAATGTTTATATTGCAAGGTTAAAATGTCTCTCGTGGCTGTCACAAACTTTATTTCAAATCAGATGATCCCATACAGACCATTATTAATTGCAGACAGAATGTATTTACATTTACTACATATACTTTTTTGTAAACATAGAGTTATGCTTTCTGCACTATATTCTTACATACTGTATTGTTTTCGGTTTACATGTGGTTAATGTAGGCATTTTGTATTTAGGTAATTTGAATTTTATAGCCATCTGAATTCTCCCTTGGCATGTTTCAGAGTTTGGGTTTTCTGTTAAATATATCTTACGTATCCATGAATTTAATTTCATTGCTGAACAGCAGAGTGGGTATTAAGAGTGGGTATTAATACAGCTGTGCATCAATTTGGTTTCATCTTGATAAAGTATAGTCACCATATGAAACATATATATGGTTGTGAGAAGTCTGCTTTATTCCCTCACAGCCTCTGTAAGTTATTCGTGTGCACCATCATCGATATTCTCTTTTTTCTATAGTTTCCTAGTGAATTGTTACTGATTGTAAGAAACCCACATGTGGGTAAATAAAATAAATAAGAAAAAAAATTAAGAAATTATATTAGAACAGTACTGAAAGGACAATTGTCACCAGATTTATTTATTTTTTTTCAATTTGACAATTTTTATTGCTTTTTCAACATAGCAAAAGAAAAATGAAAATGTGTTAGGTTTGGGGACTGGGGGGGGGGAGCAAAATGCTTCACATGACAGAGCTTTCGTACAATGGGTTTATAAAACAACAATAGTGTGGCGCAGCACACTATCATGTCTAAATGTTACAGTACAACTTGATGGAGCAGTTACATTGCACCCTGGTTATCACATTGTTCGCTATATTGTACTGTAGGACCCTCAGACTGTAGGTTTACATTAGTCTGCATATGATTGATGGTATTGAGGGCTCTATGGTTATCTGGGTGCAAACCTTTGATGAGGCACTGTCATATAGTAACTGGGTGTTGTCGTGTACAGTGAAGTCAATTTGTTGACGGGTCTGCTCATGCTAATATACCTCAGTAGGTATAGTGGATATAATCCGCTAGGTTGGGGTAGATGATATATATTCCTTCAGGTTTATGTGGGAACATGTCATGTGATGTGAGGGAGGCCATGTGATGTGAGGGAGGCCATGTGATGTGAGGGAGGCCATGTGATGTGAGGGAGGCCATGTGATGTGAGGGAGGCCATGTGATGTGAGGGAGGCCATGTGGGCGGGGACTATGTGAGTAGTTAGACAGGGGGTCCAGATTCTTTCACCTTTTCTTTAGATTACAAACTCAGTCCGAACCAGTACCAAGGGGTTCGGCATCAGAGCTTCCCTTACATTTGAGGTCTCAAAGTTTGTCATAGTGGTGAGGGTTAGAGGGAGGGAAAGATGGTGAAGAGATAGTGGGGGATTCGAGAGGATGTAAAACTATCCAGGTCATCTGGAGTGGGTGGACGGCGGATGTGCCGGGGTCTGATCGTGCCAGGCACCCCGAACAGAGTGAATTTTGTTTGCTAGCAGAGAGCTATCCGTTCTATTTCCTCAGAACTGTGTCATGCTGAAGGGGTGGTTATTGGCGAATATCACCAGTGGTACATGGTTCTGCATGTGCTACATGTCTGTCCCATATGTCTTTGGGTGTTTTAGTGTGTTTATTGGGTCCAATATACCTTTGGGCCATGAGTTCATAGTCCCAATTCATGGTAACCTGAGCTAAAAGGGCCTGTCTATCCGCTGCTCTATTCGTTTTCCAAGCTCTCGCGATAAGGGTGTTTGCGGCTATCAGGAATTGAAATCTGAGTTTTGCCTCCACATGGGTCATCTTGTTTAGACCTATAAACAGTAAACAAAATTCTAGCGACATGGGTGGCACGGTACGAAGGAGAAAACTGTATTACCATTGCCCAATAGGGTTGGAAAGATGTACATGTCCACCAGACATGTAGCATTGTGCCCGTGTCCGTGTTGCACCTCCAACATTTGATGTTCATGTCTGGGTATATGCGGGCCAGTCTTGCAGGTACATAGTATCAGCGGTATTGGAGTTACTACTCAGCTCGAAGTGTGTTGAAGCAGGATGTGTTTCGTTTATGTGCAAGGAATGCTGTTTTCCACTGTTGGTATCCTAGGTCTTTGTGCCAATTTTCTATAAAATTCCTTTTCCCTTCCAGTGAAACTGAAATTGAAAGGTTGTATGTGATGGAGAGTGTCTTCCATGGGGTGATATCGAGAGGCAGTGGTTTCAAAAGGTAGACAATTTGTCTGTGTCAGCTTCTATTATACAGTTGCAAACGAGAAAAGATTTCAATTGGAGGTATGAGAAAATCGTTCTTGGTGCGAGGTGGAATTTGGCTTGTAAGTCCAGGAACAGTAAAATTGTGGGTTGATCACATAGTTGGTAGAGGTGAGTACATCCCTGAGACATCCAAGGTTTGGGATCGAATATCATGAGCTGTGCAGGTAGGCATTACAGAAGAGTGGCTAGCTAGATCGATCCAGCCATGCACAACGAAGGTCTGAGTTGGTCCCACATTTGGAGGGTAAGAGTTGTCATGGGGATTGTAGTGGTTGCTAAGCCACGCCCTGAGGTTCCATGCACCAACCCAATACACTTAAATGTCTGTCCACTCAGGCCTGTTCTCGGTCGCCTGGAAGATGACCACCGCGGACAAAACAGCTGCCCTGTAGTATTGTTTGACTTTAGGAAACCACATGCCACCCTCAGTCACGCTCTTAGTCAGAACATGTGTGGCTATCCTGTCATGGCGACCGCCCCAAACAAAGCGTACAATGATTCTCTGTAATTTATCTAGAAATGTTTTGGGCAAGGATATCGGCAATATTCTTAAAACGTATTGGTATTTTGCCATTAGCATCATTTGTATCGCCGCCATCCTCCCTGACCACGACAGGTATTTGCCTTCCTATTGTTGTATTGTGGTCACAAATTCGGTTAGGAGCCGTTCATAGTTAGGTTTGTGTAGTTGTGAAAGGTTTTTTGTTAGTCTGATGCCGAGAAACGTAAGGTAGTTGTCTCTCCAATCAAAATAGGAAAGATGTGCGTACCGACGCTGGTGTTGCTGCTTGTATCCCTATAGGCATTGCTTGCGTCTTAGATAGGTTCAATTTGTAATAGGAGTATTTGCTATATTGCTCTATGGTTGTTAGTAAATTTGGTAGGGATATGTGGGGTTTTGATAGAGTGATTAGAATGTCATCTGCAAAAAGATTTGCAACATATTCTCTACCCCCATTTGAATTTCATGCATGGAGCTATGTGATCTGATCAGGGCTGCCAATGGTTCTAATGCCATAACATAAAGCAGCGGTGACAGTGGGCATCCTTGTCTGGAGCCATTAGTTATAGGGAAGAGGTCAGACAGAAAGCCTGCATTAAGGACCTTTTCTGCGTCTAGGGAGAGTATCAGACTCCCCTGATTGGAGTGTCTGAGGCCATAGATTAGGTCTAGTACTTTACATGTATTATCTCCCTCTTGTCGAACCTTAATAAAACCTACTTGGTCTGTGTATATGATGTGGGGTAGGTATATGCAAAGTCTGGTAGCAAAAATGTTTGCAAATAATTTAACGTTTGTATTCAGGATTGAGATTGGACGTCTTTTTTTATTATTATTATTCTTTACTATAAAAATCCTGGCAGCATGTAATATCAGCAATGATCATAAATAGATGAATCAACACTTTTGCACAGCAGAAGTTCCTTCAAGGTCCAATACTTATTTTTTCTTGGATAAGAACATTATTAACAATATGTAATCAAACCACACCTTCTATGATGCTCTTCATCATGGGCACTGAACTCATGCCATTTGTATCTCTCAAGATATGCTGTAGGGTAGTAATATTTATAGACTTTATAAACCACAAGAAAATCAGAGCAAACTTGTAAACAGGGAATTCAGCCATTTACAGATATAACCATATTACATACAGTAACAATTTACAAAGCAAAAGTCCCAATTTGAAAGTATGCCTAATGCAATATAAATATCACATTAAAATCTGCCAGTTGGATACAATTAGAACAAACTAGGAACACTACAGCTCCGTAGTCCTAAATAAAGTACCACCGGTGGCTAAATTAGCACATAATAGTTTTGCACAGGGAGAGTCAAAGGAACGCTATATTGTTACAAATACAACACTGTATTCCTAACGCTATAGTGTCCCTTTCTTCTAGGTATATAAAGTCTCACTCCAACTTTTTCCATTAATAAAAAAAAAAAAAAAGTTATATATTAAAAATGAATTTTACACACTTACCTTTTTCAAGCGCTGAGGCTCAATATAGCGAGTGGATGCTCCACTAGTGACTGTCAGTATGACAGCCGCTAGAGGTGGACTTACCCCTGCAATGTAAACACTGCAATTTCTAAAAATAAAAAAAAGTGTTATAATGCAGGGCCTCTGCACCCAGGCTATGTCATTGAGACGAGGTGGTCTGGGTGACTACAATGCATCTATAAAAGAGGGCAAGAAATATACCTGCTTACAATAATATTGGTGTTATACCTCAGTTTTGCACTCATTAGCATTAAAAGTTTAAGTCATTTAGATTTAATCAGTTATTAAACAATACATGATAAACAAAATTGATATATATTGCTTAGTGTTACAATAAATTATATTATAACAACAGATGCAATGCACATTATCACAATGTACCTTGTATTGAAGCACTTTAAATAATTGGTATTGTTTTAATTGGTTATTAACCATGAAACTCAATTTAAAAAAAGGAAGGAAAAAAAATACCCCTGCATTGCAAGCTATTTCCCGCTGCCCTTTTGACGACCTTTGTACTGACCTGAAAGGGACCACCCTCTCTGGTCATTATCTAAGCTGTGTGATCGCAATATACAAAGGTCTACAAAGTTTTTGAACGGCTCAAAGGACATGGTGCATCAATAATTTGTCAGGATGCTTCTGTCTGAGTAGATGACCACTTTCTCTATCCAACGCCCACAAACCATCAAGTATACAAACATCTGACACATCACCCTCTGGCTCAATCTAGATAACATATCAGAAGACAGCAACCTTTCCACTCCACTGGCACTAAAAGGGCAGTGGGAACAGTAGTTTGCTACATCGCTTATTTGACAACATTTCCCAAGGCATTCCTTTTACTAGTTTAGTTTATTCAAGAGAAGACTGCATGTTCTTAGTTGAACACACATGAAAAGCCTGGTATTTTGTGTTTTTTATTTTTTTTCCCCTCCATTCGCTTAGTAGTGTATTTCAGGGTCATCTGGATTGCAATGAGTTATAATCTTTTATGTCGCGCATTTCTATAGAGAAATTGAAATATCATTGCATTCACTAAATAATGAAGATTGGGTGGCCTGCAATGACATCAATACATTATGAAAAGAGTTGGGGGAAGAAAAAAAGAAAACACTGCGTACACAACAAAAAATGTTTTATGAAGTAATGAAGACAATGTAACAAACTCAGTACACAAAATCCTTTAATATTATGTGCCACTAAAGCTAGTCTTTAAAGAGAATAACTTAGGATACTACATTATTTGTTTTAAACGTTAAACATTAAAGTGACTGTTACCTAAAACTTGCCTTTCCCCTAGTGTTTCCTATTCTCTTCCTCTTTCACAATCTGTTCATATTTTATTATCCATTTATCTAAAAAACAGAAGACAAAGTAGGGACAAGTATTTTTCCTACGATTGACAAATGTGACAAAAGGGTGGAGGTTAATTAAGCTCTACTTCCTTTGAGACAAAAAAAAATTCTCTCACAATACTCACCTCTGTGCATGTCCTTCCTCCGTTGCCTTGTGAGATCTTGTGCATCATTTCTACTGATAGTAGACTTGGACTATTTGTCCATTTGGCATATGAGGGTTAGGATAAAAAAAAAAAACCCCATATTGGTATAAGGGAGGCTAAATCCTCTTTCGTGCCCATACCCGCCATGCCATGAGTAGAGGCATGTTTACTAAATGCGTGGTAATGGACACTAGGTCTCCCGTTTAATTTAATAGTTCTCACTCATAGGGCAGAGTTGGGGGGACACCTCAGTTAATTATTTTATTAGGTTCCCTTGCCAGGTCCCCTTTTTGCAGGATCTCTGTTTAGTAGACATAGGGCACAGCCTGAAGAGGCAGGAGGGAGGATTTAATCTCCCTTATTTACTATAACTACATATTTTTATTCTTATTGAAAGGTATCTGAAAGGCTAAAATTAGAAAAACGTCTCTCTATAAGGATATCAAAAAGGAGTTATCTCCTAAACAGTCACCATAATTTGGTACCCCTAAAGGGACACTATCATCGTCAGAATAACAACAGCTTAATGTAATTGATCTGGTGAGTATAGTTTGTCCCTGAAGGCATTTTAATGTAAACATTTCCTTTTTTCGAGAAAAGGCAATGTTTACATTGCTGTCTAGTAACACCAGTCACTCTGACAGCCACTAGAGGTGCTTCATGGGTCAGTACTGCACAATATGCAGCACGGACATTCAGCGTCTCCACGCTCTGCATGGAGGCGCTGAACTTTTCCCATAGAGATGCACTGAGTCAATGCATCTCTATTAGGAGATGCTGATTGGCAGAGTGTGGTGTTTTGCCACGCATGTGCAATAGCCTCCAAATGCTTTCCTATGGGAAAAGCATTGAATTGACAGAGATAGTCAAATTTTATGGAAAAAGGAAGGGGGAAAGAGTTTCTTGTGCGACAGAGCCACTGTAAGTGTATGGCTAAGGATACAAATAAAACTTAAGTATTTGACAAATATTGGTGGAATTTTAGTGTTGAGCAGTTAACAGTAGGGGTAAACCTGTGCAAAGACTTTTCCGACAGAAACCTAATGACCGTTAAAATACCTACTGGAAATTGGATGATGCAATGATGATGCAATCTTATAAAAGAGCTAAAAGTTTCTGGATCATCTAAACGTCCCATTTTTACAAATGGCAAAATATAAACACAGATTATGATGCAGTGAATTCCTTTTTAACCCCTTAAAGCCGTTACGGCGTTCTATGCCGTTGCGGCTTGCAGCCCCAGGGGATCGCAGCTACTTACCTCCGCTGCGATCCTCTTCTGGAGGGCTGCCTCACAGCCCAGGCAGCCCTCCCCCGGCGAATGAGGCCCCCGGGGGCCATGTGATCGCTCTCAAAGAGCGATCACATAGCCCCCTATAGCTGGCTGTGGATCTGCCAGCAGGGGGACTGTCTGAAATATAAGACAGTCCCCCTGCTGGTGGGAAGTGTAAAAAAAAAAAAAATTAAATATCAATTAAAAGTTATATATATATATATATATATATATATATATATATATATATATATATATATATATACATATATATACACACACACACATATTATATACATGTAACGTCGTACATAATGTATTTTAATACTAATATTAGTATATACATTAGTATTAAAATACACTTAGAAAGACATTACATGTATATATATAATAGATATATATGTAGCTTGTGACTAAGTGGCTACTAAAAAAGACTACACATACCCCATGTTCAATACCTTGGTTTGTCTACTTTTTCAAACGGTATGCCATTATGGGGGTAATTCTCATTCCTGGGCTACCACACCGTCTCAAAGGTAACTAATCTGGCAAATTTCAATTTGAAAACGGAACGTTCTATATTTGACCCTGTAACTTTCCAAAACACCATACCCCCTGTTAATGGGGGGGGAGGGGGGTACTGTTGTACTTGTGAGACAGCGCTGATTACAAATATGGGCATTTTTTTGCAGTAATACCTAACAGTATTATGACATTAACAGCTAAAATGTCAGACGGAAATACAAATTTTAAAAAAAAATAATCTTATTTTCTCAATTTTTTAAAAATTTTATTCATACTAAATTATGTTCCATATAAGAGTAGTTAATGAAAAATTAAAGCCCTGTTTCTCCTGAACAAAATGATATATAATAAGTGTGAGTGCACTTAATGTGACAGCGGTGAATTACGGGTGAACATATAGCGCAAATTCCAGTTTTTGTTTACGTTTTGTTTTGATCAGAACGTGTACTATTGACTCCGTCCTGAAGGGGTTAAAAGTGACTGTTGAAGTTTGAAGTCTGACCTAAAGATGACCCAAGGAGCAAAACAATTCAATTTACGGGCAGTGTAAAAAATAAACCTTGCAGCACAGCAGGCATTAATGCAAGAAAAATAAAAAAACAAAACACTTTTTCCTCGTTAAAGAGATTATACAAAACTCAATTTGTTGTTCAAACATTCATTCAGTTAATTTAAACAGATATGTCTGCGGTAAAGTGCATGTCAAAGATTCCATGTTACGAATGTTAATAATTTTAAAAGATTTGTTTTCTTTAAAAGCAGCAAATAAAAGATATCAATCTTAAAATTAGGCAGCCTATACATAGAACAGAGGAGAATTCAAAATCTGCAAAATGGAAAACTAGTAGCTATGTAAATCACACAATTTGATACGCTGTTCACATCACAGATTTTCAGCTTTGTTTTTTATTTTTTGCATACATTTTTTCATATTTTTTTTTCTGACACTGAAAGTTTGAAAATAATTATGCAGTTGCAAATTGACCACAGAAAAAGAGACAGACAGATCTGGATGTGGCAACTACTGCTAAACTTACAATACTTTACTAAAGTGAAAAATCGTATCAACCTTGATTTCCAGAAACACATTTTCAGGGGACATTAAGTAAACACTTTCACACAAACACTGCATTTCCACTGCAAACCTAAGATCTTTAGAACACAATTTACAGGGTATGCACTCCACTTATATACATGGATATACAATAGATGCATAAATGCTATTATTATGATTTTATTATTTAAGTAGCGCCAGCAAATTCCTTAGCGCTGTACAATAGGTGGACTAACAGACAAGTGGACACACAGGAACAGAGGTGTTGAAGGCCCAGATCAATGAGCTTACATGTTAGAGGGAGTGGGTATAGTGACATAAAGGGTATAAGTAGGGGTAAAGAAATAGGTTGCTAGAAAAGAATTCACTGAGAACTTTGGTTATTTTTGACAGTTGCAGGAGAGGAGTCATGGGTGGGGGGGATGAAAACATGCTAACAGTTTAATTTATATGCTTTCCTGAAGAAGTGTGTTTTCAAAGATCTTTTTGAAGGAGTGGAGACTGGGTGAAAGTCTAACGGAGAAGGGAAGGGAGTACCACAGAAAAGGTGCAGCCCTGGAGAAGTCTTGGAGGCATGCATTTGATGTGGGAGTACGGACAGAGGATAGACGTAGGTCTTCGGCAGGGGCCTTGACAGGACATACTTGTGTATTTGGGAGGACAGGTAGGTGGGCGCAGCATTATGTAGGGACTTGTAAGCAAGCACCAGAATCTTAAATTGAGCCCTATATCTAACTGGAAGTCAATGTAAGGACTGGCAGTGGGGGGAGGAGTGGGAGGTCCGGGCGGACAAGAAAATGAGCCTTGCCGCCACATTCTTTATAGATTGCAGCGGTTCAACCTGGGACCACTGAGAAGGGGATTGCAGTAGTCAAGGCGAGAGAGAACAATGGCATGGACCAGCATCTTAGCCGCGCCCGGTGTTAAATAGGAGCGATTTTCTTTTTTTAAGATGGAAGCGGCAGGATTTGACAATTGACAGGACAAGAGTGGTGAAGGAGAGGTCGGAGTCAAAGAGAACACCTAAGCAGCGAGCCTGCGAGGTAGGGGTGATGACGACGCCATTGATTTGGAGGGAGACAGACGCAGGAGTAGCAACACGATTACCATGAACAAACCGTACTATTGCAAATATTTAAATTTTCTGCAGAAATCTCAAACACTAAATAAAGAAAAATAGCAGACCACTGGTAGTCAACTTTGCTACTCCTGATGCGTGAGCTAGATTTCCTGATTATGTCACACTGGGTGAGCATCTTGAAAAGGTCATTCATACTGTGCCAGCAAAGGCCAACGCAAACCTTTCTTCAGAAGATACATACTTACAAGACTGCTACATACATAAAGTTGATCAACGGAACCGGACTCTACTAATGTAGAGAAGACATATCCTCATTTCGCCTAAAATTTAATTTATTATAAAATTAAGTGTTCCTCATCTGCCAACATGTAACTATACCAAGTTCCCTGTAGGTTTTTCAATGTAAGCTCTGCTTTTTCAAACAAAAGCTAGTGTTTAGTTTGCTGCCTAGTAACATCTCTAATGGCAGTCACTCAAACAGCCACTAAAGTGTCTCCTAATATGCATCACCTACATTCAGCTTGAAGGCGGCGCTAAACGTTCCCCATATAGAGATACATTGCTTTAATGTTTCACTACGAGGAGATGTTGATTGGAAATTGACAATTTCAGTTATGGAGGCGGGCCAGCTGTGGAGAGACTGGCACGACATTTCAAAACAGGTGAGTAAAAACACAATTCCCATGCAATCCGAGAGGGCTGGTGACCTAAATATAAAGATTTCACTGACAGACACACACTCACAATATATTTATTATTTGATACACACAGACGTACATGCATGACAAATTTACACACAGAAAAAAAAAAAAGTGAATACATATTTTAGCCACTCTCCTGTTTCCTACCTTTCTGGGTGAAGGAGAGTGGCTTTCCTGGGGTCCAGTGGGACTGGGCACAGCAGGAGACAGATTGGTGGGGCTGGCTGCGCCTAGTGTGAATGGGCTGTGGCTTGTCAAAACTCCGCTCCTCCACCTATCTCGATATCACGTGCAGTTCACTGTGCGCCGGGAGGAAGTGAAGGGACCTGCAGTTACTTCCTCCCCGTGCTGAAGCCGTGCAGGGAAACAATTGTGTGGGCGGTCGGGTCTGAAAAAATGTGGGCGGGTCTATGAAATGGAAGTGGGCAGCGAACAGACGATTTTGCCAGGTGTCCTGCTGAGCAGCCTCAGCGACGGGAGAAAGAAATTACAGTTCACTTCCTCTCGGTACACCGGCGCATAGAGTGCTACACAGGGATTGAGATAGGATGAGGAGGGAACGGGCTGACCAAAATTTTTAGTCGCCATGGCAACCTGGGATTTGTTGAGCCCTGTTTTAACCCATTAAGGCCCTTTTGAGAAGAAGGCCCTTTTGGGAACATTTGCCATGAGTTCATTCTACCACAATTTCAAGTTTTCTGAATAAGAATACGCAGGGCTTTCTTTTTATACCCTATCTATCTATATCTATATATATATCTATATATATAGATATCAGAATATTAAAAAAGAATAAAATTGGTGGGAAAAAATATATACACACACATTCTCTTCTTAATTTTATACTTAATTTCTATATAAAAGTTCAACTGAAGAAGTGCAACTCAAAATAGATTCACTACTTAGTCCTCATTGTTAAAATTACTAATATGTTTTGTATTTCAATTAATTTTGATCAGTTAAGTTTTCAAACTTCGTAAAATGTGGTACGCTAAGATGCTAAGAAACTAATAGTACACAAAAGAAAATATTTGTAGAAAGTAAATTCCCTAGGCTAGCGTTTCCTAATTGTTGTTCCACCATAATTTCGGCAAACAAAATGGACACCGCAATTTGGCCTGGTCGAGTGCCACTTATAATTGAGGTGGACAGCGAGGGAGCACTCTCCCCTGCTCAGCTCACTCACTCGCGCACCACAGTGATGCTGGAGCCGGAATACGACATCACTCTGGCACTGGCATCACGAAGAGGCACGCAAGGGAGCTGAGCAGGAAGATCACTGCTCCCTCGCCCCCCGCACGCCCAGCCCAGCAGCCCCACTGGACCCCAGGCCAGCCGCTCAGCCCAGCAGCCCAGCAGCCCCACTGGACCCCAGGCCAGCCGCTCAGCCCAGCAGCCCCACTGGACCCCAGGCCAGCCGCTCAGCCCAGCAGCCCCACTGGACCCCAGGCCAGCCACTCAGCCCAGCAGCCCCACTGGATGCCAGGGACAGCACACCGGCCGCTCAGCCCCACTGGACCCCAGGGAATGCACGCCGGTTGCTCAGCCCAGCAGCCCCATTGGACCCCAGAGAAGTAGAGCCTCCATGCCAGCACTCCCAAAGGTAGAGAGGCTGGGTGGAGTGAAATTTAAAAAAGTAAATAAATTCCGTGTTTCAGTGAGCGCGCGCGCCAGCGAGAGCGTGCAAGTGTCAGCGCATGCGTGCTTGTCATTGAGAGCGCATGCGTGCTTGTCAGTGAGAGTGTATACATGTATCAAAGAGTATACGTGTGTCAAAGACTATGTGTGTGAGCTAGTGTGTATCAAGGTCTGTGCATGTGTCAAGGTGTGTATCTTTGGATCTGTATGTATATGTCAGTGTGTATATGAGTCAATGTATTTATACGTGTGTCTGTGTGTTAATTTGTTTGTGTACGTACAGCAATCATTTGTGTGTACATCCCAGCAATCAAACACGTATATGTGCATACATCCCAGCAAACACCAACACAACATGCAAACATAAACATTACATACAAAAGCCCCTGGATTAAAATTTTTAATTTATATACAAACACTCAAACATTAATACTACACACAAATGTACATCCGCATTTAAAAACCAACACTACATCCAAACACATCCTG